TCATTCTAGTACGAAAATGACTCCTTTCTTCTCCAACTATGGTTTTCATCCGTCTTCATTCCCCATCCAAACCATTACTTCATCCAATCCTACTGTTACATCAAAAAATGAATTTATGTCTTCTCTATTTTTCAAATTACGGGAGAATCTTCAACTCGCCCAAAATAACCAGAAAAAGTTTTTTGACAATAATAGAAGAATTCCCCCTCCTTACAAGGTAGGGGATCTTGTCTGGCTCTCTTCAAGGAATATTACCACAAGCCGTCCTTCAAAGAAATTGAGCTCTCTTTTTCTTGGTCCCTTTCAAGTAATTACTATCATTAATGATAACGTTGTTAAACTAAAACTTCCTCCAAGTTTTAAACTTCATCCAGTATTCCATGTCTCCTTACTTAAACCACACATCCCTGATCCTTTTTATAGGGAAATAGTAACAACTCCTGAACCTATCATTGTCCAAGGTGAAGAAGAATATGAAATTCACAAAATTTTGGATTCTCGTGTCCACCGTGGCTCCTTACAATACCTTATCAGATGGAAAGGTTATGGAGTTGATGAAGACACTTGGGAAGATTCATCTAATGTACATGCTAGGAGGTTAGTTACTGCCTTTCACAAACGCTATCCCTCCAAACCGAAATAGTGCACCCAGAGGATGCCCCATGGGAAGGGGGTACTGTCAGGTATAGCATGGCATGTAATTTATCGCCGGAACCCACTTCCGGGTTCACGGCGCTCAGCCCCGCCCCTTTCTCTGACGCGGTCCCTCCACGATACTTAGGAGGACCGCGCCAGATTCAAAGGGCTGGATTATTCGCACAGGTGCTGCATGAAGATCAGCTGCTCTACTTCTGATCCTACCTGCTCCACTTCTATACCTCGGCTAGTAAACGGATTTCTACCTTCTCCACTTCTCGACCTCGGCTTGTAAACGGATTTCTACCTTCTCCACTCCTAGACCTCGGCTTGTAACTCTGAATTCTACCTTCTCCACTCCCAGACCTCGGCTTGTTAAAACGGACTTCCCCACTCTCCACTCCTAGTTCTCAGCTTGTTGAAACGGACTTCTAATTTCTCCTTCATTGGGTGAATTAACCCTTCCAGTGCCAGAACTGCCTTTAAGTTAAGTAATACTTTTACCAAACAAGTCAATTACTATTATTTATATTACACAGTATCTAAAACTCACTAAAGTGTCACTTTGTCTAATTATTCCTCTTACTCATAAGGGATTGCTACAAAGCCTAATTTTACCTACATGGATATTTAAAGGTACAGTGACCATAGTTTCATACCAATATAAAAGGAGGTGAACCTTATTGTTGTTGCAACCAAGAAATGCTGCAGTTGAGTTCCAATTAAAGAAATATTACAAAATAAGTATTACAAGTTTGGAGTTTGGTGGAGAAATGCTGGAGATCAAGGCAGTTGAGGTTTCTGCAAGATTGGAGAGTTGAGGGTGGGGTACGGGTATGCTGATGTCAAATGTTAGCAGATGGTGTTCAGACAAAGGAAATGGAACAGTGGATAGATTAGAGGTGGTACAGAGATTGGTGAAGATGAGGTCAAGAGTGTTTCCTGCTGTATGAGTTGCTGAAATAGACAACTGTGTGAGGCCAAAGGACAAGGTTACAGAGAGTTAACACATGTTAGCTGGAATTGTCCACCGTTATGGTCCTTGTAGATAATTTTCATCGTATATTCTTGTTGATACTGATACTAGTTATCTATGCAAATTTTTTGGTTTTCTTCAGTATTGATAGTTTTCCGGTTCTCAACCCTTTCTACTCTATCATTTCCCCTATATAAGTTGGTTTGTCAACTTGGCCCCCGCTATATTAGTCACTTATCTACGTTCATCACTACATTCATTTGTCTCTGGGCTATCCCATTATTTTCAGGCAACAGGGGTTTATACATGTAACAGGTTCACAATTCACTTACTTTCCAGAGTTTCTGCATTATTAAAATTTTGCTATATGCCTTAATGATATTAATTTAAGTTTGACATCATATGCTGGTATTTTCATATTCATGTCACCTGATTTAGTCTATGTCGCTTGTGTTACCCCTCAACTGTTTGCAAGGAATATATTGGTTGTCACTTACATGTTTACAACTATTTCCTTAGCCCTCGTAGGGCTCCCGTGTCTGGCAGATTCTGCTATTACAATGTACACGGTATTACTCCTCCAAGTTCTAAGGTATTTCAAGTTGTGCCCTAAGTGGTCTCCCAGCAATTGCTGTCCCCAAGTCTTTCCATTACTATTCACATCACAGGTAAGTGGTTCTTCATTACATAATGTTGGGTTTCTCTGTCACATCATTACAGAGCGCGAGATAGCAAGGAGGAGCTCTGGGAAAGTCCACTCAGCTTTTCCAAAGGTAGGCAAACTGAGTGGGTTTCAATTAAAACAAAAATGTAAGTGTGTGTGAGCTTGTCAGAGTGTGTGTGTGCCTGTCAGAGTGTGTGTATGTGTGTGCGTGACCCTGTCAAGAGTGTGTGTGTGTGTGTGTGTGTGAGTGCCTGTCAGAGTTTGTGTGTTCGAGTCTGTCAGAGTGTGTGCATGGGAGCCTGTTGTCAGCGTAAGAGTGTGTGTGAGTGAGCATGTCAGAGAGTCTGTGTGTGTGAGCCTGTAAGAGAGTGAGTGTGTGAGCGTGTGTGAGCCTGTTAGAGTGAGTGAGTGGAGCCTGTCAAAGTGTCTGCGAGCAAGTCTATTGAAGCGTGAGTGTGTATGTGGAAACCAAACAAAAAAAGTTACCTTAATCCCTATGTATATTTAGACAAATGGAGGTCATTTAGTTACTCCAATGGCCATTGGAGGGAATGCCCGCCTGCCAACATCACGGCAGACCCCCCTAAATGGGTCCTACACTGACCCTTCACCTTGCTTCCTTGAGCTTCTGTCAAAGATATCTCCACTGAGACAGAGAGGGGTATTTTTTATATACACCCCTATATACTTATTAACCCTTAATAGGGAACACATGGGATGGGCGGCTGCATTGTAACAAAGCTGTGTGATACAAAAAGTGAATACAAATACAAAAAGATAAGTACTGCGCTCACTTCCATCACTCCTGGGCGGCAGGAGTTACCTGCGCTCTCTCCTTAATCCCTATGTAAATATACATAGGGATTATGGAGAGAGCGCAGGTAACTTTTTTTGTTTGGTTTTTAACTATATATTGGGGCTGCCGCCCAGGAGTGATGGGAGTGAGTGCAGGACTTATCTTTTTGTATTTGTATTCACTTTTTGTATCACGCAGCTTTGTTACAATGCAGCCGCCCATCCCATGTGTTCGCAGGCTGGCAGGCGTGCGAGGGAGCACTCTCCTGCTTCCTGTTCAGCTCCCTCGCGCGCCTGCCAGCTGGGTGACACCACTGGACCCCAGGGAACCCCGTCAGCACTCCAAAAGGTAAGGAGGCTGGGGGGATTAAATTTAAAAAAAAAAACATGTGTGTGCGCGTTAGTGTTAGTGTGTGTGTTAGTGTGTGTGTCTGCTTGTGAGTGTGTTATTGAGTGTGTGTCTGCTAGTGAGTGTCAGTGAGTGTGTTACTGTGTGTGTCTGTTAGTGAGTCTGTTTGATGTCTGTTAGAGAGTGTGTGTTTGTCAGTGAGAGTGTATGTTTTGTGAGTGTGTATGTATGTCTGTCACTGAGTGTGTCTCTGTCAGTAAATGTGTGTGTCTGTTAGCTAGTGTGTATGCGTCTGTTCGTGAGAGTGTGTGTGTCTTCAGCACTTACCTTTCTCCATCGCCGGACTCCCTTGGAGCCGCGCGCGCATTCAAACCGCCCATAGGAAAGCATTACTCAATGCTTTCCTATGGACGTTCAGTGTCTTAGAATCGCGGAAGCTCCTCTAGCGGCTGTCAATGAGACAGCCACTAGAGGTTGGATTAACCCTCAGTGAAACATAGCAGTTTCTCTGAAACTGCTATGTTTTCAGCTGCAGGGTTAAAATTAGAGGGACCTGGCACCCAGACCACTTCATTGAGATGATGTGATCTGGGTGTCTGTAGTGGTCCTTTAAGTGTGTATGCATCTGCATGCACTGGCGTACATATCGCGGTCGCAGAGGTCGCAGCCCTGCAATCCCTGCAACCAGGTGCTTGCCGCCATGTGTTGCGGCCCCGGCCCGCGCAGAGTAAGCACGGGTGGGGGGCCCACGGATCAATTTTTGCACCGGGGCCCCATGGGTTATGTGTACACCACTGCCCTGATATATATCTATATAGGATTAAAATAATGGTTTAAGTAATTCTTCATAACAGTACTAAATTCAGTAGTGCTTCTGGAAAACAGGTAACCCTCCAAATCTCACTGCAGAAAATGTGAAATTGACAATATTTAAAGGGTAATGCGCTGTAGCTCGTGATAGGCAATATGCCCTTACAGAATAAAAATGGCAAGTTTTACCTTATCATGCTTAGATATGTTTAGGATATTTGTTCAGTTCCTGGGTTAGTAAATAAACCCTTCTTTCTTGGTTATGTGTTGGAAGCAGGAGATAAAAAGGGAAACTGGGTTTCCCCCTGATATGCAATGATGTAATCAACAAAACAATAACCACAAAAGCAAAACAAGCAAAATATTTGGATCTGACAATGGAAACAAAGCTATAGACCAGTAGCTGATTGTTAATTCAACAGTTGCTGGCAAGATGACATTTTCAGCATTATTATCTCGATGCTTTATTTTCCTATATCTATATGCTAACACTGTTGATTTTTTTATAGCCATAGAACTGTCAATAAAACACTGGCCTTTTAATATATATATATATATATAATGTGCAGCGTAACAAATACTACAAAAGCTTCATGTGTACTTGATTAAAACCGACCTGTTCATTGGACTACAACAGTACTTTGACTGCAGCAAAGATGCATCTTTTTTGCAAAAGGGGCTAGTGATGTCAGAGGGCGAGGCTTGGCCTTCTGTGGGTTCTCCTACACTGCCTAAAATGGACCAATCATCTGGGGGTGTGAAAGGGGAGTGCTTGCTACTGCTCTAGTAGTCAGTACTATCTGCTGTGAGGAAGCGTCAAAGTAGGAGGAGGACCTATACATTTTTTTTTTCTAATTATCACTGGGATGCAAGCAGCTGGCTGGGTGTGCTGTGCCTGCACTGAATGGGAAATTTAAAAGAAAACCCAGCAATTTATCCTGTTGCATGAAAAGGGGCACTGCTGCCTATAGTAGGGTATTGAGCTGAGCCCCCCTTGGCACAGTCTCCATAGTAGAGCTGCCCCACGGTGAGCTATGCTGCATGCCCCAGTATTGTCTGAATGCCTTGCTGCATTGGCCCAGGACTCCCTGCACTCACCATGAAACAGATTGCAAGCTCCTCAACCCAGATGGCATGCTGCTCCCAGCCAGGACTCCAGGGGGAGTGACACTGACAGCCTGAGGAGATCTCCCCCCATCCTTCCCTGAATCCCCCCATCAGCTCCTTCTCAGGATCCCCCATCAGCTCCTTCATTGGATCCCCCCCTTTACTCCTTCCCCCAGCATAGCTGGCAGTGTGTGTCAGTGGATGAAGATGCTGCAGGTTTCCTGGATCTGACTGCTCCCATTATTATCATCCATTACTAGCTCTCATACATTGCTGATTGCGGCTGCTATTGATTAGCTCTGGGCTGGCTAGAGACCACAATGGCGAGCTCCCGGAGCATCGAGCTGGAGCACTTCGAGGAGAGGAGCAGGAAGCCCCGGCAGTCCAGGCGGACCGGTCCGGGGAGCAGCTCGGGCTCCATGCACCGGGGCGGCAATAATAACAATGGTCTGATCCCCAGCCCCGCACACAGCGCTCACTGCAGCTACTACCGCACCCGCACCCTGCAGGCGCTCAGCTCGGAGCGCAAAGCCAAGAAGGTCCGCTTCTACCGCAACGGGGACCGATACTTCAAGGGGCTGCCGTACGCCGTGTCCTCGGAGAGATTCCGATCGTTCGACGCTCTGCTCATGGAACTCACCCGATCCCTTTCCGACAATGTCAGCCTGCCCCAAGGGGTGCGCTGCATCTACACCCTGGATGGCGGCAGGAAGATCAGCAGCCTGGAGGAGCTACAGGAAGGTAATACTGGCACTCAATGAGCCGCAGGTGTACCGGGGCTGTGCTGGCTTTACACTGGGGGGCTGTCCACCTACTCACACAGCCACCCACCCACCATCATGGTTATAATGGCCATTACATTGAACCTGGCACATGGGTGGTGGCAGTGCTGTGTGTGCCATGGGCAGGGATGGATGGTGTGGAATGGTACCCTACTTTATTCTGCACTGTTATTATGGCATTGCTTCAGCTGCATTAATAACCATTCGGTGTAATGGATTAAATACAGTGGTTGTAGTGCAGATGGCCCATTCAATCATTGTAAATGCTTTATACACAGTGTGACATATTCCAGTGTCCCCTGTAAATGGTGATGGAGGGTATTGTCATACCCTGAGTGAAAATACATATAATACACATTTTAATTCAGCTGCTTGATGTGCAGGACTTATTTATAGCAATACAAAAATTTTCTGTTTGTGTGTATCTCAGCATTGTAAAACAGCCACATTTTGTTAATGCTTCAATGAGGCTTTCCATTTCACTTTGTTAAAGCACCTCTTTTATAGACTTATCAAAATATGGCTTTATATGATATTTTTTACCTTTTAAGTATTCAAGGTTATTGTCATGTAGATGTACAGGCTACTAAAGGTTTTCTGTATTATGGGTATCTCTTCTGGCAGCTGTGTTAGAATGCTAAATAAGTACCTGCTTTGTGTAGTTTTAAATTTGACAACTGGGGTCAGCCAACAGTCAAGCTTCGCACAAAGGGTTGCTAGGAAATGTAAAACCTCTTAAATGGTTATTTCAAGCGCCATAACTACTTTAATTTATTTGAAGTGGTCATGGTACCTGGACTCTATACATACAGCTTTTTGCTTTGAACGCTGCAAATACAGAAATTAACATGAGCTGTAAGAAATTCCAGGCTGGCTACTGCCAATTCTGTACAAAATTGATGTTGGAAGCTAGCAAACACAGCATGCTGGCACCACACAGCCGATAGCGGTATTCCCTCCATCAATGCCTCTGATATTCTCCCATCAGGCAAGGAGGATCAAGCTGCAGAGAGAACTTTTAACTTAAACGTTGAAAAGGGTTTTTAAAACGTACCTGAAATCCTGCACAGGTTGAACTTCCCAGTGCTCCTCCCCCATTCATCATCACGGAAGCCCGTTGGGTGATCCAGTCAGCTATGATTGGACCGTTTCACTTCACAGAGAGGCGGGGATTTTTCTTTAAAACATATATTCAAAAAAAGGCTGTTTATTGCAAGGAGGCTTTTTGGCCTTGTCATCGAGGTGTAACTGTCACCCCTCTAGGCACAGTGAGCACGGGGTCCACTTCCGATTTACCCTTTTATCTCAGGGAGAGACTAAGTAAATGTATTTCACCAAAAAGAGAATAAGAGAAGTAGCCTTCAAGCTGTTGTCCGTTCTCAGTATTCTCTTGCACCCTGTGTTTGTCTGGTTTTGTTTTTGTTTTTTCTTTTAATGGGGGGTGAAGGAAGCAAATCATTGGCTTGAACAAAGTCTGTAACTTAGTCACTTGTTACCTTGGGCTTTCAAAAAAAAAGAAGCATTTAGAAGAAAATAAATTACACAGTTACATTCTGATAGAAAACAAATATGTTAAACAGAAGCATGACAATGCACTTTACATAATTCAGCACATAGATGAGAAATTCATTGGGTTTCTAAAGAATTGTATTGGATATTCCATTGAAAGGCCACTCACTAATCTAAACATCAATACTGGGGAAGCCTGTGGAATACTCTTGTTTTATGCAGAGAGGATACACTAAACCTCACAGGCAATTAAAGAGACCTCCAGGAGTTAGACGAGTTTAAACAAATCCATGCAAAGAATTTGCACATATTTATTTGCTGGGGTTTTTTTTAGTTATAATTGAGCCATCTTGCCTTACTATTTTGCGTAGCACATGCCAATCTTTAAATTAACACTCTTAATTTTAGGTCACACAATTATTTCTCAGTTGCATCTTCATACAAACCTTTTCAAATCCTATACTTGGATATACCACACATCAGAGGTCTACAAATACTTGTTAATGTCCACATGTTTTGCGACGCAATAAAACTGCTATTGGGAATAATAACCGATCTTAAAGGGGAACTCTAGTGCCAGGAAAACAAAAATTGATCAAACGTTGCCGAACGGCCCAGAAGTCCCTCTAGTGGCTTTCACTAGAGGTATATTTTCTTAAAAACTGCAATAAAAAGGGGTTAAGGGACCTGGGGCAGTACATGAGCTGTAGTGGTCTGGGTGCCTATAGTGTCTCTTTAAGCCTTCAGATGCTCTGTGTGGGAAAAATGTTCAGTGTCCCTCCCTGGCCACACTCTCTCATCCAATACCTCCCACCGTAAAAAAAAAAAAAAAAAGTGAGAATTCCTAGGAATTAAAAGTGAATTTACAATTGAAAGACGAAATAGTCAAAATGAACGTTTTCAGCGAAGTGACAGTTCCTCGTTGCCAGCAAACACTATTGCAGCATTTGATGAGGTGTATAATGTGCAGGGGAGGCAAGTTTAAAAAAAATAAAATAAAAACACTCCTATTGTGCTTTTATGTTGTTGGCAATTTTCCCATTCCATGATGAATCCGGCGTCTAATGAGAATTTCCATATAACTGCATGCAGTCATACACACTATCACATACTTGGACATACAAACATGCACAGTTTACGGTATACCATGATGGGTGTGGAGGTGGGGAGGACGAGGAAAATAGCAGCCAGAATTACATTACCAGGTGTCTAATGGTGGGTAAGCAGGGACTTCTTCCTGCTTCCCCACTATGGACACTGCAGTTTCCAGGCACCTGCCTAGGTAACATCCCAAATGCCATTGGATGTTGGCAGGCCCATTTGGTCCTGTGACACCCCAACAATCCTCTGAATCCCCTTTGCTACATCACTGTGTCTGCATGCTACACAGCACAGTGTATGCCTTTACACCACTGTGACTGCATGCTAACCCTCTTCATCTCCTTTGGTTAGCAGTGCACATGCCCAGGTGACCAAAGATGGCAAACTCCATTGGCAGCAGTGGCTAACTTGATGTTAGTGGGGACAGGCTGTTTTGGAGGGTCCCTGCACCCGGGGGCTCACTGGGCAAGGCATCAGTTCTCTCCCCACTTTGGGTCCATGACTGAGTACCCAACTGCTCAGTCTGCCCCTGCTACAAGCGAAGGCAGAGCTGGACACAAGTGTGTGAACTCTGTGTCCTCCTGGCACTCCTGTTGCCATGGCACCCCATGCTGCTTTACAGCTTACACATATGTCTTCTCCTTTTTAAACTATAACTGTGGGCTGCAAACATTCTCTACTAGTGATCCCTGGGGGAATATGCACACTTTGCAATAAGTTCCATAACATTACTTCAAGTCGATGGCATTTAAGATGAATACTGGAGATCATGACTGCTTTATGCAGTTCTCTGATTTTCTAAAAGTTTGGAAATCGTACACTGCATAAGAACTGGGTGTATGCCTTTGTATGAAAGGTGGACGGGCTAGTGCCTACTCTCACAGCCTCTCTAAAAATGACTTCTTATTTACTTTTTTGTATGCCCTGATATAAATTTATACATGCACTCATGCTGAATCTCCAATCAGGCTTTATACTGAAGCAGTGTTTGTACAGTCCAGCTCTGCATCATATCCATTCTTGTGGACCGAACCAAACCCTTGCTTGCCCTGTCTGAGTGCTTGATTGGTCGACTGGAGCGTTCTCGATCCCCTATCTAAACTGTCATCTTTGAGTTATTAAATACATTCTATGTGGCTTGACAGGGTATTGACATATTCACTTCTACACTTTATCTCCACAGGCAGCCACATTCTGTCTTTCCTTGACTTGAGTAGCCAGACCTGGTAGGAAATGGCTGTTGGAAGTGTAACAATAAACCTAATTTAGCTGTTTCTGATTCATACTAATTTCCTAGTTCCCCTCACGTTGTCAGCTGTTTCTGTTCATCATGATGAATTTCCCTAGAATAGCATTATCACCTGTCGTCTGATTTATTTACTTTCTGATGTAAGATTCATAGTAGACTTATATTTCTTATGTGGGTAGTAGAAAATTTTACCTTTCTCTTAAAAATGTTAAAGGGAAACCATTACCAGGATTTTTTTATAATGTATATCCAATATAATAAACAAATATCTACTTTGGCTGGAAAGACCAATTGTAAATGTAGCAATCCAAACCTATTCCTCTTTCTCTCCTGAAACCGGGCAATTGCATATTGGCTCCCTGTCAATCATTGTTGTATACCTTCTTTGTTTTTAAATGAAATATCCTAATGTGTAATTTCCGAGAAGTAACGGTTAACCTTTTAAGAAGAATGTCACTCATAAACTGAATCTTCCAACTACCTACTCTCCCTTAGCTGCTCACAGTATTTGGTCGAATACAGTGTATCAAGCTAGACGTAAATAGAGTCGGGAGAATGTGAGGAGTAGTACATATACCCAGCCACCTGTAGTTACTGGCTCACTAACCTGGTTACAGAGCTCTGTTCTCTCTATTAGGGGAGCACGCAGTGGACAAATACAGTTCTGCAAAGTGGTATATTGGATGTAGCCATCCATACCTTTTACTCCTGATTTTTGTTCTCTACTGCATAGAAGAGAAGGGATTAAAAAAAATTTGTTTTATTTTTTTTAAATATACCGGTTACGTAGCGAGGGAAAAATAGATCATTGTATATACCATTTTTCACAGAAACAAAACATTTAAACTATGTGGGATACGTGCATTTTGGTGTGTGAAGTAAATTTGCCTGATTGTTGAAAACAACATTTTTAGTATGATTTGCTTGCTGTTAATCAATTAGAGTTTCCACTTTTTTTTTTAAATTTTTTTATTTTATTTTTTTTGGGGGGGGGGAGGTGGTGTGTGTGTGTGTGTGTGTGTGTGTGTCACGTGTAATTAATACCCTTTTAGTGACAGAATCAGTCAGCAAAGTCATAAATTGTACATCATTTTAGTGGAATAAACCACTACAAAATTTAACATAAAATGAAAACCTCAAGAATTATTTTAATGCACTATATAACCATAACCACTCCTACCATAGAAAAAAAAAAATATATATATATATATATATATATTGATACACAATTCCAGCCTTAGCTGTACTAAGATTATTCCTTTTTAAGTTGCATGTTAAAAAAATAAAAAAATTTCATGCATTGGAAATTTTCATGCACATTTCCAATGCCACATATATTATTTTTATTGTATAGCCACACTGCACTGACTTTAGAGGGCCATTATAACTATTTAGCTCAAATTCTAGTTTTATTTTATTGGATAACATGACTGTTTACAAATGGAGAAACTAGAAAATCTTAAAAATAAATAGTATAATGTTTTAAAAACACAACCTAATTAACTTACAACTTGAACCTTCCTGTTTTAATGACCAATATTATAGTGGCTTTGAAAGGACACTTAATTAAACTCACCTGTTCCCTGGAAAGACCTACATTATTATTTTTTTTTTAAATTGGAATATGTAAGCATTAAGAAGTTTGTTATGACATATCATGCCTCAAGATTGGTAAATTGCAGTTAAAAAATTTTTAATCCTTCTAAATTTCATATTTTTGTTAAATCGTTAGTGTGCTTATTTTAGCTTTAAATACTTGTTGATTTAAGTCTATAGTGAAATTGTCCTGTATTTGTTGTAAATGTGACGTGTAACCACTGTCTTATTACTTCTTAAAGACAAATATGAAATAACAAATTGTAAACTCAAACACAGGTTTGTATTCACAAACGTTTTCTCATTGATTTCAGGTGAAAGCTATGTGTGTGCCTCGAATGAACCTTTTCGCAAAGTGGACTACAACAGAAATTCTAGTCCAAGCTGGTCTGTGAATGTAAGGACTGGTTCTGCTCGGTCTCTTTCGTCTTTAACCACTTTGAAGAATGAGATGAAGGAAGGCAAAGATTTCATCAAGCCCAAACTAGTGACTGTTATACGGAGTGGAGTGAAGCCACGAAAGGCAGTGAGGATCCTTCTAAATAAAAAAACAGCCCATTCCTTTGAACAGGTCTTGACAGATATTACGGACGCTATAAAGTTGGATTCAGGCATTGTGAAGAGATTATGCACACTGGATGGAAAGCAGGTGAGACATGTGGCTTCACGCTGGTAGTTACGACAAATAAGATCTTGAATAAATAGTGGGTTATGTATAAAGAGCAACATTGCGACAATGCTTTTTGTTTTGGTTTTGTACATTTCACTGGTTTGGATTCTGAATTCTCCACTTACAGTTGTATCTACTTTTTATTGTTTGGAAATCTTTGTTCTTGTGAATGCTGCATTCACATTTGTAAACGTAAGGCAGGAGCTGCTTTTAATATAGGTGTAACTGAAAAACCATAAATGTGCTCCTTGCCAGTGCGAATTCAAAGCGGTCATAGAGTGATGTCAGCAGGGTTGACCAACATTATTAGCCTTGCAGTCTCCTGTCCCGCTTGTTGTCTCCCCTGTTTTATTAGCTGCTGCTGTTCTTTATGTACCAACTGTTCCTCTAGTAATTGTCATTTTTTTTAACTGCAGTATCCCTGCATGTTTGAGTATAATGTAGTGCAAATTGTAAATAATTTCAAATAATGAAGAGCATGATCTTAGACTTAACTAAATCCGTAATTGCTATGTTACCATTAACTATTTCAGTAGTAGTCCATAGGTAGAGGTTCATGTGTGTATAAAAGTGATAAATGTGTAAACAAATACAGCAATAATGTGTTTGATGGAGGGAAGTGTGTGTGTGTTGGGATCCTAATACTACGTTTTGCAATTGGTAATAACTTAAATACCTTATGGGTTGTTGTTTTTTTGTTTGTTTTTTAATGTAGGTAAGTCATTTTGAGATCTCATTGCTGCTGTATGCAGTGTTTCTAATTATTTACTTGGCAAGATGTGCTGTTATAACAATATCCTGGGCAAACTGTGTTCTCTTCCTTTTCTACAGCCAGTCTTGTTGCAGAAAAACTACCAAAGATATAATAAACCGTAGACATTTCTACAGGGCTAATAATGTTCATTAGCCATTGAAGAGTGAAAATGTAGCCTTAGAGAGTAGAAACTCACCCCTGGTTCATATGCTATGGCTTGCAGTAGTGTGTGACTTTTATTTATTTTTTTTATTTTATTTTTTTAAAGGCCTGTCTAGTAGCATAGGACCAGTGGCGTACTAAGGGGGGGCAGAGGGGTGGTCCGCCATGGGTGCCACCAGGGTGGGGGGTGCCTTGGTAGAGGGCGCCGCCAGGAGCGCCGGCCCTTCTCATGCTGCAGCCGCCTTAGCGCTCTGTAGAGAGCCTCAGGCGGCTGCAGCTTTGCCCGCCCGGACGCAGCCTGAGGAGAGGGGCTGACAAGAGGGAAGCGATCAGCGCTCCCTCCTGTCACTCCCTCACTGTAGCGTGGCCGAGCCCTCTATGGTCCGCGGGTACAGGGAGCATCTGTCTCCTGTACCCGGCCGGACTAACAGGAAGTACACACTGGAAACAAAAGCTCCCTGTACCCACGGACCATACAGAGCTCGGCCATGCTACAACAGAGGTAGGGGAGGGGGGGGATAAGGAAATTGGGAGGGGAGGATAAATAAAGATTGGGAGGAGGGAGAAGGAAATTGGAGAGGGGGGATAAAAGAAATTGGGAGGGGGAGAAGGAAATTGGAGAGGGGGATAACGAAGGAAATTGGGGGGGGATAAAGAGAGAAATTGGGAGGGGGGAGAAGGAAATTGAAGGGGGGGAGAGATTGACATTCATCACACAGAAAAACACACAATGCATTACACACACTGCATTACATACACAAGCAATGCAACCGTTTCACACAATGCATTGCTTACACACACAGAAACACACAATGCATTCATTACACACATTCAATGCACCCCTTACACACACTCAATGCATCCCGTACATACACAGAAACACACCTTGCAGCCCTTACACATACAAACAAAGATTCACACAATGCATTCCTTACACACATATCAGGACATCCCCTACACACTCTACCCCCTGTGAACAAACTCATTGGTGGAACATGAAGGTGGACCCTGGGACTCAGACCTTGAGCTGTGTAAAGGGCCCCCCAAAAATTGAGCTGCTTCCCGTTGATCCCAGAACATTGATTTTTGTGACCACAGTTACAAACTGCCTCCAGAGAGCCTGTTCTACACCAGACCAGTGGAGCCAGACTGCAGCTAGAGCCCATCATCATCCTCATCTGGTTGTAAGTAGGCAATCTAGTATATTATTCGTGGCACTAATCTCTAATTTACCTCACATTAAAGAAACACTATAGTCCCCAGAACCACTGCAGCTTAATGTAGTGGTTCTGGTGTCTATAGCCTGTCCCTGCAGGCCTTTTAATGTAAACACGGCGGCACTGCAGCACTGGCGTTAGATAACATGGCAAATCATATGGGTGGGGCATTGTGATGTCACATGGGGGGGTGTCAAACTTTACTTTTGCCTAGGGCGGCAAAAATCCTTGCACCGGCCCTGGCTGGAGGGGGCTCTGTGAGCTGTGACCGCACAGTGCCCCATGGTAGTCAGGGGCAGAGGAAAAGTGGGGCGGGGCGGAGCGAAGCAAAATCAGAGGCGGAGCCAAACTGACGCTCGGGGCGGGGCTTTGGGGGGGCAAGGGGGTGTCAAGCACAGGATCCGCCCCAGGTGCCAAATGCTCTAGGTACGCCCCTGCATAGGACTTCACATTTTAATCTCTTTATGATAATAAATAAGCTAAATCAATTGCACTTGTTTTGTGTTTACATAGTTCTTTGTCGGTTTCTGAGATTTGAGCCCCCGGTCAGGAACCAGATTATAGCACAGAACTCAATGTGCCTCAGGAATATAAAAAAAATTATGTATTGTTTAAACTACTTGAAGAGATAATTGGTCTGTGACTCATGGATTGCTTGACACATTTAAAGTGTAACCAGCATTAATTTGTTTGTCAAATTAAAACTAATTGGGTTTGCTTGTGGCCTCGTTTTAATCTCTCTACTGCTTACTTTGTAGCACATTGGTAGCATATCAAATTGATATTCATCACGTAAATTTACCTTTAAATAACAAATATGTGCAAAGGTACCGAAAGGGTGGATCTATCGTGTATTTTTATTTTTTTTCTGACTATATATTGGAAACGTGCTTTTCTGCAATATATGTACAATATCTGTTGTATTATTTGGGGGGTTTTTTTGGTTTGTTTGCATGTTCTGAGTCCATGTAATTCACAATAAACTTGGAAGCTTTGGAGAGGACTGTAAGGAAACCTAGTATTCATTCGGTAGTTTCCTTCCGAACGGCCAAAGCATCAGTGATTATAACTCTCCTTTCGGCAGATAAAATAAACGATTCCCATACGAATGCAATAGCTTTACCAGATGATTCCCTTAGTAAAGCATACGAATACCCAAACATCAGCCGGAGACTAGAAAAAGGGTGCAACAGAACTGACGTTTAATTACCACACACTGGCTTTTATGCAAGTCCCCGTGCAAGGGGACATCCCACAGGGAGGGACATGGTACATCCAATCATTAACAAGGAAAACATAAAACACTCCCGGCACAAACATACAATTCCCTCCCCTATTCCTGGAGATAATCAAGACTGCTAAAGTAATAACTTAATTATCTCCAGGCAGAAAAAATACAGTTTTACCCAATATTTAGAACACCCCTTTATGAATATGGTATCCCCACAAATATGTCCCCTGATAGCCCCGATCTGGGTGACCAACATATTCAAATTTCACCCAGATCGGTTCAAGGGTTTGCAAAAAGTATGGAAGTCTTTTGTGACCGGCTAACCGCGATGTTGCTGCCCAAAACAGTTCCATGAGTTTGGGTAGTTTTGACAGTCTATTTCGTAAAGATGCAAAAACAGAATAATTCCATGAATGGTTCCCCCTGGCTCTTAGCAGCAATTGTTCCCCTCAGACGAGTGAACAAAAGTACCGAACAGCGCTCTTCTAGCTGTTCGGGAAATAAAGATCCACCGTTCATATGTTGGGACCGGTGTTTGGGAAGTCAAGTGTCCGATTTTAGTTTGACACTCGACGACGAAGTCCCGCTGCCTTTGTTCGCACAGAAAAAGATGGCTGCCGTTTTCTCAGCCATGTGGCGTTCAATTGAGGCATGCTTTAAAGTTAACAAGCTGGGGGAGGTGGTCTCTGTTCGGTAGTTACAGCTACCGAATGAAAAAGGGGAGAAATACCGAACACAAAGAGGGATTTCTTCACAAGGACTTTACAAAGACAATCTCAAATGATTCAATTTCTAATTTATTTTTATTTTATTTTTTTTAACCAGCAAGCAAACAAAAAACAAACACAAGTGATGCTTGTCCCTTTTTAACCCCTTAAGGACACAATTTCATGTGTCCTTAAGGGGTTAAGAAAGCATTGTCAGTTTTAAGTTTCGTAGAAGATGTTTAGAATTTATAGACTTTTTTTTATTTTATTTTTTACTTTTCTTTTTAAACTTGGTTCCAGATAAAACAACCTTAGCAGCTCTATTCGAATGCTAAATGAGTACCTGCTTTGTGTAGTTTTAAATTGGACAGCTGGGATCAGCCAACAGTCAAGCTGCACGTATTGGGTTGTGAGGAAATGTTAAACGCCATAAAAGGTTACTCCAAGCACCATTACTACTTTGTTATTTTGAAGTGGTCATGGTGCCTGGAGTCTGTGACCAGTATTTCTTTTTGGATTTAGTTTGAACGTATGATGGGTATACGTAGACATTTTATGTATTGCCTTTTGCATAACAATAATATGACCACAGTAGAAGTAATGGAAGCATTTGAAACTCCCCATTTCTGAGTTCGTACCTAGCTTGCTACCCGTGATATTGTCTTTTTTCAGGTATTAGACATGTTAGTTGGGCTACCAAATTCTGATTGTGTAAAATCACAGAGAGTGGAGTGGGTGTGTTGGTATTTTTACCAGCCCTGCCATGCATGATTATAGTATTGTAGTGAGGTGTGTTGGCCATGTGTCATTACTGCATGTATGACTATATCCCATGGTACAGTTTCATGTGATGTTTTGGTGTTTTCATGTGAAGAAAAACTATTTCAGTCTACATTCAATATATCTCTGTGTTATCTCTTACAAATAGTTTGTAACATGTTGTTTGTAGGATAATGATCAACTTTGAGGATTGAACAACCTTACGTGACATGTTAAATGGCAGGCAATAATTTTAATCTGATCTCCGCACGAACATAGGAATATCAGATGCGCCTGATACTCCTCTTTTTCACTTGACACGGTTCACAAAGGACATTGTAAAGCCTTGTCTCGTTTTGAAACTAATTGTCCTTTTAACAAGACATGCCACTAACTCCCGGTAAGGACATCTCCGGAACTTGTATAATCTCTCTTCATAAAAGGATTTTCTTAGGCATGATGAGAAACACCAATTTGAAACTTTATGCAGTTTAACCATTCTTAACACAACCCTTATGTATGGTAATGACATTATGCATGGCTGAAAAGTACAATATTTTTTGTGAAGGGAAAAAAAAAGCCTGTACTAAGCAACCTGTCTGAATCTTTTTTTCGAATTTTTTATTTAGTTGATTTTGTGTTTTACAAGACAGGTGGGGAAACATACATGATCTCCTATTTAATTGTTTGGCTTTTTTTTCTTTTTTACTACTACTAGTAGTAGTAGTAGTAGTAGTAGTAGTAGTAGTAGTAATAGTAGTTAAAAAAAAAAAAAAAAAGTGTGTGTATACATATACACATTTATTTTTATTTTTTTACTTCTTAAGTCATCTGAAGGATAGGATTAAATTTCCCCAACCATATGGGGGTATTACTGGAAGAGGAATATATTCAGTTTTAACCACAGGAGACCTGTGACAAGCTTGTAGAAGATTGTAAAGGATGAAATTCGGCAGATGGTGACAGGCTATCTGGAAAGTGGCCAATTGTTTCCTACTTAATGTAACATTTTTAGTACTATGTAAAATTTTGCAGAAACAGACAGTAATTTTAGTGTGTGTGTATATAGGTCATAAGCTTTCTCATGGAAAATTATTTAGCTTTTTAAAATGTAAATTTTAGTTAGTGTTGGGTGCTTGACAATACATTTATGTTGGGTATTGGGCTTATGTCTTGACAAGATTAGTTTCATTTGTGATTTAACTTTCACTTTTCACTTTTGTTTTTAAATATTTTTCTATGACAATGTTATAGTATAATTCCTTCCAATGTGGTTCCAGATAGGATTACAAGGATATATAGCACCATTCATGCAACTAAGCTCCTATTTATAAGATGCTTTTAAAAAAAAAATAATTTTTATGGAGACCTGAGGGGGAGAGAGAACTCTTGATTGCTTGTGCAGCTCATTCAGATATATCTTAAAGGGACACTAAAGTCACCAGAACAACTACAGCTTATTATAGTTCTGGTGAGTATTGGAAGTCCCTGCAGGCATTTTTATGTAAACACTTTCTTTTCATAGAAAAGGCAGTGCCTACATTACAGCCTAGGAACATCTATAGTGGCCACTCCTCAGATGGCCACTAGAGGTGCTTCCTGGGGCAGCTCTGACGTCCTGCATCTCCTTGCTCTGCATGGGGATGCGGAACTTTCCACATAGAGATGCAGTGATCTTTTATTCAGGTATATGGAATTACAAGGGAGCCATAATGGATGCCTGCAAAAGAAAAGAAAAGTGCAGAGCACATGTATACAGGAAGGGAAAAGTGTCACAGTCTGGTGCGGTATATATGTGCCATAGTAATTAGACCGAGGCAAAAAAAAAAAAGATAATTAAGGTAGGGGAAAGTGTGAAGAGAAAGTTCTGGATGCTGAGTGCTTTGAAAAGGATACTGACTGAGAGACCAAGTATGAGATAACCGTTACACTTGGCTGCATATGATGATTTTAAATATTAATAGATGGACTGGCAAATGTTATTATAGTACCTTACCTAGAACTCCTGTAATGCCAGGCTACCCATGTAACCAAACTCACTGTAATTTGAGTGCCAAGACTATCTTCTTTCATCTGAAACTTATGAAAATGGTAAATTAGTTCTTTGAGAACTTCTCCTACGGGTTTACTACATGGCGTCTACGTTTTTACAAAGGGGAGAAAGTGGCAAACAAATCTTTATCTACAGGTTTACACTTCTAAGGTTGCGAGTATAATTTTGTTTTCTCTAAAACTATAACCTTCTTTTGCACGATGATTTCCCACTGTTATGTCTCATTGTAACCACTCTAATGGTCACAATTGTCAAATAGTGGCTCAGTTTTTTTTAATATATATAATATAAAATGTGGGGTTGTGGTATACTCAAAAAAATATTTTCTAGTCTTACCATTGTTTAAAAAAAGCAAGCTTATTTACATTTAAAGAGATGTCTCTGTTGTATACCCCATGTCTTATACCGTCGGTCACTTTAAAGCCACATCAGTTTCTGTGTTTAATGCTGTGCATATACATTGTATCTCACTGAGCTTTGTTATTAACAACTAATTAGTCTGGTAGAACCTCCTTTCTTCCTACAGCTGCCATATGTCACAAATGTTTTGTCTGCATGAACCCTAATCCCAGCGAGTGATTATAAATTGACCTTTACTAGAACTTGTTCAGAGTAGTTTTTATTTTCCTGGTTTTATTGAAAACTCACATTAGGCAATCATATGTAATTGTTCTGACAATGAAATAAATTATTAACTGGACATTGCAAGCCAAAGACCATCTAAAAAAAACATATCTGATAACTGCATATGTGTGCATATTCCTACTTCTAGTGTATTTTGTTTTGAACCTGTGATTGTATGCAGCTGTGTGAATGCATCTCGTAATGATAATGTTAGATTTGGTTATGGTAAAGGACTGGGTTAAAGGATCACTATAGGGTCAGGAACACAAACATGTATTCCTGACCCTATAGTGTTAAAACCACCATCTAGGCCCCCTGGTCCCCTCATGCCTCCATAAATATTGTAAAAATCTTACTGTGTTCAAGCCAGAAGCTGTAAATCTGCATGCTGTTAGACTCAGAAAAACAAGCCTTCTGTTGACATGTGGTAGCCTGATCCAATCACAGTGCTTCCCCATAGGATTGGCTGAGACTGACAGAGGCAGATCAAGGGCAGAGCCAGCATGATTCAACCACAGCCCTGGCCAATCAGCATCTCCTCATAGAGATGAAGTGAATCAATGAATCTCTATGAGGAAAGTTCAGTGTCTGCATGCAGAGGGAGAAGATGCTGTGCACAGTGCTGCCCTGTGCTCTGCTGACAGCAGATCTGAGTGTATGGAGGCATATTATGCCTCCATCAACTCCAAAGTCCCTCTGGTTCACTCTGAGTGACTGCAATTGGAGGTGTTCCTAGCTTTCAATGTAAACACTGTATTTTCTCAGAAAATACAGTGTATACATGAGAGGCTGCAGGGAGCTATAGTTCTCACCTGATCAACCTCATTAAGCTGAAGTTGTTCAGGTGACCTTTAAGGTTAGAGACAGGTTAACAGAGTTAGATTACAGTGGGTGTGCTCAAGAGGGGTTAAAGTTGTAGTAAAAGGGCTGTTTAGGATAAGTGGGGGTTAAATTGATCATTTGGATACTGGGGGTGTTTTATGATTATTGCGTTTAGGGTTAGAGTTCTGTTAAATTTAGTTTTGGGGCACATGAGGTGTTAAACATAGGATTAAAGGAACACTATGGTGTTTAACTATTAAGGTCCCCAACATGGGTAAGGAGATTTTACTCACATTTTCTCCCACGCCAATTTTGCCAGTTGGGTAGAAAAGCCAAATATTTACCCATATATTCTATGCAGTAGTGTGGCCGCAGGTACTTTTCACAAAGGTTTGACTGAGAAGACTCCTTGTTACAAATTTTAATTGTAACTTTTAACACTAGGAAGTTGCTAATAAAGCACCAGTTAAAAAATAAATAAATGTATAAAAGTGTGTCTCTGAATTTTTTTGGAGCGCTTTTGGAAATTGATTACAAGTTTGCTCTTGGCAGGGGTCCTTGCATCTGCAACAGTAAAGGAAGCTAGCACACCATAATAGTCTCTCAATCGTTATGCTTTTTGAAGAGGGATTATTGAAAATGTACCAGCGGTGTATTAAAGTGTCAGTCTATGCACCATAAACACTTCAGTCTGATTTTCTAAAGTTGACATTTGCCTGGGTTTCCATGTGCGTCTCTGGTCCAGATTTGTGATCTGTTGTGGAAGGGAAACTTCAAATATATCAATTTCGTCCATATATGTAGAGAAAATAAATTCAATGCAAACTAACAGAATTGATATTACTGATGCAGAAATAGGAACATCCTTAGTGCTATTACAGAAGGAGACTGGACAAGAGGCACATACGTACCAAAATGTTATAACATTTTGAGATGGCACCAGGGGATTCCTGGCATCATAAACCATTACAGTGGGCAGAAGTGGTTATTGTACCTACACAATCCATGACGTACGGAGGGGGGGGGGGGTATATGTATGTGTGTAAGTATACATACCTTTATGAACAAAGTCAAGCTTGTACACTTATTCTGGGTTTTTCAGCAAGGTTCAAATTTGGCCCAAACTGACACATCTGAAAAAATTTACCAACTCTAATACTTAATAAAATCAAATACAGATGCAATCTTATAATATACATTTTAGAAAACTGAACTTTTATTTTCTAGTTCTTAGGGTATGATGTACCATTCTATGGAGTAAACCCTTTCTCCCAAGAAGTTGGTTATTAAAATCATACTAATGACAGATTGGAGTAAATGGAGTGCACATTTCTAGTAGGAACTTTGTGATTGCAAACCTGATTCATCCACATTGTGTAATTTCAGATAGTGTTTCTTTGGATTATTTGATTTTGCTAAATTTTGTCCCATATTTTAGATTGCTTCACAGAAGGCAGCAATAGTAGATACATTTTAATCTAATTCAGAGGACGTATGTCAAAATCTGAGCACTGATACGTTTTGAGACCAATGTCTAGATTTTGCTGTCCGAATGTCCCAGCAATGTAACAAATAATATTTGATAAAGAACAGATGTATTCCAACTTTAGTGAGTAACTGTGTGTATGTATCATAACGTGTGTGTGTGTGTGTAATAATGCATCCATTTGGCCAAATGCTGACTTTGTCTATCCAATACAAAACAGTAAACCATGTTTTCTAGAAAAATCATGCCATGGTTTTTCTTTTGCTTTTTTTTTTTTTTTCTTCTACTAGAAAAGTCTGTGTTTAGAATTATCGGCCTGCAGGGACAGGGCATTTTGCACCAGAATCATTACATTAAAGGAAAACTCCATCGAATTTTAACTATTTAGTAGATAGAACTCCCAAAGAAAACATGCATGTTTTATTTGAAGGTATAGGAGAAAAGGGCAATTTGCAAAAGCCTTCCCCTGTCACCTGGCACAGACTCTCTCACTGAGAAGCCTCTGTGATGGAGCAATGCGTGTTTGTGTGCATGTGATTGTGGCTTTGCAGTGCTTCCCAGTGAGCTATGGTGCAGTTCACTGAGAATAGCGGAAGGCACACCTGTTCGAGCAGTGCGCCTGCGATTTTATGCTGGCTCTGTGGAGCTGACAGAAGCATAAGAACCTCCTCAGCTGCCTCAGTAAGAGCAAGGGAGGTGTTTTTTGCCCGAGGCTGGTAATTCTAGTGAGTTTAATTTAAAAAATGATCAAAATTTGAAGAAGAAGAAAAAAAACTTGACAGATTTAAAATTTTGCATTGTGGGATAAATACATGTAAGTGTTCAACCAAACTGCAACATAGTATCCAGTGCGTAGTACACACTAAGGATTCTCATCATAGGTGAACTTGCTCTCAAGGTCCTACTTTAGATTTGCAGGTGACGCACCACTGTCATTTTTTTAATTTGAAAAAATCTGTGGGCAGTTTGGACTCCTCTCCAGTTTGTTACTTATGGTGACAAATTCTTAAATTCAAATCAGTGCTCTCTGATGAGGCTCAGAGTGAAAGTTTTGCAGTCCATTGTTCGTCTCCACTTTTATTCTTCTTAACTCACACATTTGATGTAAAAGCTGTTTTTCTAACAGAACTTCATTGATAAGGGTGCTTGGATTATATATTTCCTATTATGATGTATATTTGTTTTGTTTGTTTTATTAGCAGTTTGTAAATTTGTATCAGAATCTATATTAGTATTCCGTTCTAGATTGTATCAAAATTAAAATATAAACCAGTTGTGCCCTGTGCATATTATACTTGTGTTGCTATAACAACCTCTTATAGAATGTTTTATATTCAAGCCCCTGTTCTTCAAATCCAAGTAGCGTGGGTGAGTGAGTGAAACATATGTAATACCATTGTGTTCTAATTTTTATTTTTACCCAAACGGCTATAATTTTAGGTGGTATGGAACCAGATGTCCTGAAAAAATGCAGCACATTATTTTTATTTATTTTTTTACAGTAAAATGTCAGCATTTTATTAATATTGGACATGAATGTTTAAAGATTTAAGTTTAGGTACTGTAAACTCTACAGAGTGTTGTAGTGCTTATGAGGCCAGGAGTAAGTAGTCAAACGATTTTCTTTAGGAACTGTGGTCCGGCTCTCTTCTTTGCTATATGTAAACTGGAAATTTTTGTTCCACAGTGGTATTAATTTCAGTTTGTTTTAGTTAACCCCGAAGAAAGAGGCCTAACTGGATGCCCCTAGGTGAACAGTAATTGGGAAAACCATCAACTGACTACTTACTTTGGGACATTGCAAGAGGACTCTTGGAATAACCACTAAAGCTTATTGATGTAGTTATGGTGTCGAGACTGACTCTTTAATGTAAAGGTCGAAATGTCTGGGTTTGACCAGCAGTGGTAGAATTTGGCTGCAGTTTCCACAAAGACAAATTCAAACCACACTTACTAAAAATTTACGTTTATGATGGAATGCGACACTTCATAGTCTGATACCAACTTAGCCTTTACAAACGTGTATTCTTAACACTAAAGTGTTAAAATAACTGTTTAGGTGTCCACACCCACCTCTCTGGAGTTAAAAGATGAGTTAACTTACCTTTTTCTGCCTTTCTGCAGCTGGTTCCGCCTCCGTGGCTGAGATTTTGATGATCTCAGCCAATCCAATGCTTTCCCATAAAGCATTTGGAGGCTATTGAGCATGTGTGACAAAACGCTGTGCTGAGCCAATCAGTATCTCCTCATAGATAAATCCATTCAGAATGTGCAATGTGATACGTAACAAGTTAGGTAGCACCTCTAAAAATGTCTGCAGGGAGAGGTTACATATACCAGAACCACTACATTAAGCTGTAGTGGTTTTGGTGACTATAGTGTCCCTTTAAAATGATAGTTACTCTATTGAATTAACAAATGACAAAATACAAAACAAGTTTACAGAAATAATAAAATCTACACATACCCTAGTCTAGTGACTATTATTTATATTGGATCTAGTCTTGGAACTTTCCTGGAGTATATTCCAGAGCTTTGATCAAAAAATAAGATTTTAAGCTAAACTCTAAAGAACCTAGGATATTCTTTGTGTTTTGGTTGGAGATGAATTTACAGATGCACACTTTTTTATTGTGTGAATTCCCTGATCTTGATGTTTAAATACAAATATAATGTCTACTATACACAGCATGCCCAGAAAATCTTATTTACTGCTGTCTTATCAATCTTTGAATCATTTCATTTTATTTATTGTATAGACACCATTACAGCATCGACCATTTGAATGTCCTCTCTGGCTTGTTACCAGGAGGCATATATATGGTGCTTATTAGTGATCTCTGATTTAATTGCACTTGTTACCGTCACTCCCTTAACAAAGGCGTATAAGTGTTTGTTTTACAAATCTTTAATTTTGGTATGTATGTGTATATATAAAATATTACTTTTGTTATTTACTTTTTTGGAGAAAAACGATTGCTTCTACACATGGAACCACTAACTGCCTAATTATCAATGTGCATTGCATACATTTTTTTTCCTTTCTTTCTTTTGCTCATTTGTTGTATTATTTTTTTTTTTGTTATGCCCTTTTGTACAATTTATTTACCTTCTATCTTAAGAGAATTTGCAAAATGCTCTTCTCTTCTCGAACATTGTTTAAAAAGAACACATCTTTTAAAAAAAAAAAAAATGTGTATCCTTTAGTGATATCTTTAACAGCTACTTAATTATCAGTAAAAATGCACAGCATCCTGATTTTGTCAGTGTTTCTTAAAAACCTACTTAAATCATGAGAGCAGTGTAAAAAAACAATATCACTAAGCATAATCAACACATCCTGTTTAGTTCCAACACTGTTAACAGAGCTCCCAGAAAATACATTTAAAAAAAGCTTGCGTTATAGATTCCATTAAACAGACATTTTGTAGATCGTTCAGTTCACCCTTCAAGTATTAATTTAAAAAAAAAAAAAATAGTTTTCTTCATTTTAATTTAATATATAGCTTAAATAATATAACTAGACCCTCAACTCTACTAACTCAAATATAAACTAAACTAAAAGTGGCTTCTGCGTGATCCTTAAAGTTGAAGGAGAGAGTGTAATGGGTTATAACTATGCATAGTGCTGATAACAAGCTGACTTATTTTGCTGTTTGGTGAACGATTCATATTTTATGCACTGTTAGATTATGCAATAACTATAGCAGAATTTTTTTGGTGTTGAATTCATAATAATCTGGATTTCTATTATTCAAGAGATGTGAATATACGATGGGTTTGTCTCGTCTGTTGATTTATTAATAGTTTACAAACCCATTATTAGTTTTATTTAAATGTGATCCTAAAACTGGATATAGCCTGTTTTGTTTCATTTATAATTCAGTTGTAATCTGTAGAGAATACTAATAGCATTTGCTTTAAAATGCAAATTGACCCTTGGAGAAGGAAAAACAATATATCTTGTACCATTTCCTCCTCTGCCTCCTCAAATTTGTCTCTCTGCTTTGAGCTATTGCAAGTAGTGTTGGTATATCATGCTGCATAGGTGTTGTTTGGGTTCCCCTCCCCTCACTTTTTCTTTTCTATAACATGTGTGTGTATCAAAAACATTGCCACAATATAATCTGAATCATAAAATTATGCATTAAATTTTTTATATTTATTTTTTTTTTATCTAAAGAATTTCCTGAGTAAATTTGCTGAAGTTGAAGCAGTAATTATCTCATATGTTTGAGAAATGTGACAAGAAATAATACAGATTTTATTTTAAATTGTAGTTCAGTATTTATTAAAACCAGTTGATCAAAAAGTGAGAGTGGTGTTTTTTGGTTCTTTTTTGTCAATCACAAGTTAACTAGGCAACAAAGTAAAAGCAGAGACTAATGCAGATCGCTTTTGGTGGATGGCTTTTGGTTCGTTGACGTTAAGGAATAAGTTGCAATATAAAGTGCATTACATGACGAAGAGTCAATAACTATTATAGTGTGTTAAACATCACTTTCTAAGACTGTCAAAAGGCAGAGATTAGAATACAACAATTATAGTTACAAAAGCCACCCATGACATCTGCATCAGTTAGAATCTTCTCGAGTGAGGGATAGAAAGGAGAGAATAGTCAGAGGTAGAGGGGGAAAAAGAGAAGGAAAAAAAAAAACAGAGCGAAAGATGAGCATAAAGGAGGAAGGAGGCAGGCGGTGGGAGGGAAGGCCAAACGGCATCCCCAGAGGAATATAGGTGAACCTACAGAGCAGCAGGTGTTTAGCAGGGTAATATGCAGTATGGCAGGGGACTAAGGGATCAGCAAGGGTGGTCCTTTAAAGTGGAGATTAACTTTGACATGCCCACCTCGCCATCTATTTCAGTCGCTTAAGTCGCTACCCAGCCAAGGCTCCCACATCTTTTCAAATTTCTTAATGGTTCCACTAGTTATAGCTGTCAATTTGTCCATGAGGCAGGCCTCTTTAAATTTTATAGATGACTAGGGACAGAGTGGGCGCATCTGGTTTAAACCACATTTGTGCAAAGGCCAGTCTAGCTGCAAATGTTGTTTTATTTGAGAGCCTTTGTTCTGACCTCAACCAGTCATCTTTTTGTCTGGAAAGTAAGAAGACCCAAGGGTCTAAATCAATTCTTCAGTGAAAGATCTGCACTGCTAGGTCCCCCACTCTCTGCCAGAAGGCCTGCACCACCGTGCATTCCCACCACATGTGGAGTTATGATCCCATGCTGCCACAACTCCTCCAACAGAAGTCGTTGGGTGTTTTTTGCATTTGACATAGCTAGGCCGGCATAGTGTACCACCTAAACATAGTTTTGTATGCCTGTTTCTGGGCGGTGGTACAAATCGAGGTTGTATTGTTGGCTTCCCAGATTTCCTGCCATTCCACCCCCTCTGTTTCCCACTGTTTTTATATAGGTAAGTTTACCCAATTCTGTCGTGTTGGAAGTAATGTGAGTATGTATGGATGATATCATGCCTCTGTGGATTGATTCCTTAAGGCACCAGAGAGATAATGCTAGCGTTGGCAATTTCTCTAATTGGCATGCAAAATCTTTAAACTGGAGGTTGCCTTCTTTTGGATCAACAGCAAAAACATATGTGAGAAAGAATGAACTTGATGGACGCAAGTCTCTTTTCAGCTATGTAACTATGTAATCTAAAGAAGTCACCAACTTTGAGCGTTGCCCTCTCGGTGAGTTCATCAAAGGTGACTATTCTAACCCCCACAACCATGTGACACAATCGTTGGAGACCTGCACATTCAAAGCTTTTGAAATCTCAAGCTCTCATGCCAGGAGGGAAGGCTCTGTTTCAGAGCAGGGGCATCACTGGGGTAGGAAGTTTCGCTAGATTGTATTTCACCGCATATCTGTCCCAGATCCGTATTGAGTTCAGGAAAGCCCTGTGTTCCTTAGCCAAATATAGTATTGGGGGAGATCCAAGACTGTCATAAGTACTTCCAGGTCTACCCATCGTCTCTCATCCGGACCTTTCCTAAAGGTCTTGAAGTAGCTGCCGTCAAATCCGTCCGTGGGGCTTTGTTGCCTTTCAGGGATGATATTGCTGTGTCAATTTCGTCTTCTGTTATTTAACTCTGTTTGAGCAGCCTCCTCGTACAGCTTCGGGAGGTTCATCTGGGTGAGTTAGTTGCGAGTGGCATCCACTACCTCATTCTGTTGTTGTGGGAGTCTGATTATATAGGGTTTCAAAGAATTCAGTAAAGACTCTAGCAATGTCTGCAGGGGTGGTCTGCATGTTCCCTTGTTTGTCCTTGATTCTGGTAATGTGCGGGTGTCTCGGTCTAGGTCTCAGCATTCTAACAGCGAATCCATCTTATTCGCTTTGTCATAGTAATTTCTCCTGGTCCACGTAAGGGACATAGCTGTATCGTCTGCCAATGTGTCCCGGACTTCTAAGCATCTGATTCATAGTTCTTGTAGGATGGCCAGGGTGGGATTATGTTTGTGTTGTTCTACCCTGCTTAGGGCATTAAATTGGTCCTTTTTATTTTTGAGTTTTCTCTTTCTTTTTCTTTTTCATTGTAGCTAATTTGACCAGGGTCCCTTGTATGACCCTCTTATGAGCTGCCCACACTGGGACGCCTTCAGTTGCGTTTAGGCTAAAGTCCTTCTGAACAGTTTCAACCACCGTCCGATCCCGAAGTAGGGGGATATTGCGTTACCAGTTCCATGGGGTGGCGGCGGTGAGGTTATCCAGCGTTAACGTTATGTCGGACTAGGTAATGGTACCTACATGTGATCGGGTCGCCCTTGGACCAGCCGTGTTATTAATTAGGAACAGAGCTATGCACGAGTAAGTATTATGGGGGGGCGGAGGGGAATGTGTAGTCTTTAGTTTCTGGATGGTGTGCCCTTCAGATGTCAAGGAGTCCAGTGTTCTAAATGAAACGATGAAGTAGTTTCTTGTGTTCCTCTACTTTGAGACTGGGGCTGCCCGCTAGTGGAGCTCCTATCTATAGCTGGACTCAGGGCTGCATTAAAATCTCCTCCAGTGATTATAATCCCATGGGGGAGGCTCTGGATTAGAGCTGCCAGATTATCCCAGAAGGTCGTGACTTGGTCATGTGTGGCATAAACATTTACCAGGTGGATAGTGTGATATAATAGGGTGCCGGTTACTACAAGGAATCTCCTTTCCGGATCTGAGACAGCCCGCGTCACTTGAAGTGGGCACCTGGTGTGGATAGCAATAGCCACTCTGTTACTTTTTCTAAGTGTTCTAGCCTCAAAGACAGTGTGGTATACATGATCTCTCAAAGTCACATGAGAAGTAAGGGGCAGTTGCATCTCCTGTAGGAAGGGGATATCAGAATTTAATCTTTTGATTTGCCGAAACAAGAAATCATTGAGTCCCTTCACGTTAAGTGATGTTATCTGTATGGACATAGAAGATGTGTGTAAGTTACGCCATGAGAGGGATCCCCGGCTGAGCAGAGAGTGTTGGAGTCCATGGGACGGCGACCCCTCCCCCCACTCCCAGGATTGGGGGGTCTGTAAGTGAGAGTGTATCTGTTCTTGTCAATGAGTGTATGTGTGTCTGTCATAGAGTATGTGTGTCTGAGTGTGTCACTGTCTGTATCTAAGTGTGTGTATCAATGTGTTTGTGTGTGTGTGTATATGTCACTGTGTGTATTTGTGAGTCAAGATGTGTGTGTGTGTGTGTGTGTGTGTGTGTGTCAGATACATATACACACTGACACATACACACACTGGTGCATACAAACACAGATATACAAACACAGATACACTTTGAAACATAGATGCACATACACACTGTGTGTCAAGGTGTGTGTATCTGTGTGCCACTTTCTGCCAGTGTGTTGTGTATCTGTATCAGATTCATACATACTGGCACATACAAACACAGATGCACACATTTTGACACACAGATGCACACACCTTGACACACTCATACATACATAGTCTGTGTATCTGTGTTTTAGATAGATATAGATATCTATATCTCTAATATACACACACACACACGCACACATGCACACTGGCACATACAAACACAGATATAGACACCTTGACACACACTGACACATACAAAAAAGGGTGCACATTTTTTATTTATTTATTTTTTTCCCTCGGGGGAGGTGGGGTTCCACGATGTTGAAGTCAAAGGGTTCCACAGGAAAAATTAATTGGGTACCCCTGCTTTAGGGAATCTCAGAGGACAAGGGGACTTTAATATGAGCTCTTCTCTGGGGTTCCTGTTATTAGCTAGTGGGGTTGTGGGTCTGTCTTTCCTGTACCGTGGCCACTCCCTAGGTAGGTGGTTCGTGTTGGTAGTAGGTCGCAGTAGCTGCTTTGGGAGCTGAAGCGACGGCTGTTTGTTTTTTTTTGGGGGGCGGGCATCACTCTTACAGTGGCATCTTATGGTAGTAGGGATGGGCTCATTCCCATCCGGGATCTTTAACCCCCTGTGCTATGTAGTTGAGGGAGCATATCCTGGGCTAAGGGATCTGGATGGGGGGGGGGGGGCTGTAACTTGTAAACTACCCATTGTCCCCTATAGCCCTCCACATGTGTTTCTCGTAGGACGCTATTGCACTCCGCTGTTCAATATGAGTGGGGGTATGGAATGCTAGGGTGGGCAGACAGGGGATCTCTCTGTTCGGGTGTATAACCTTTCTCCTCTGCCCCTGACTCCTCCCTGCAGTGATTATATGAGGTGTAAGTCCCCTCTCAGCCACCCATGGCATCAGATTTCCATTACCCTCCCATCATACATTAACACATCATACTAAGCATAACTATTTAATGTTCTCTTGTGGAGAGCTAAGGGGCCCCAATATCGGGTCCACTCCAGTGAGCGAGGTGAACTGGGCCAAGATCTGCGAATGCAACAGAGTGTGTGTGCCATCACCCGTTGGGTTAGTCCACCTCCACACCACCCCCAACAACATTAAGCCACTATACAGCTGAAATACCAGAAGCATACAGAAGCGTTTTATGTGAAGAGCTGCAGTCCATTGAGCATCAGCCCTCCAACTCCCTCAATCTGTTCTCAATAAGCGGGAGTCATTCCGCATCACCCACCCACATGCACCTTCAAGTGATACTCCGTGTTAACTCAGGGAGTCCCACAAGTACTGGATACGGCCCAGGGGTGTGCACTCGCTCGGCCGATGTCCAGACCTGGAACCGTGTAAGTTAGTGCAGTAAACTTAAGAAATAAAGGTGCACTTCTATAGGGTAGGATATAGCAGAGTCCCAGAGTGTGCTGACCACTACAGGCATCCCAGGCCCCCACCCCCCCACTAAAATTTCAAGGGCTGTTAGCCCCGTGTCCCCTTCAATATTAATGCTCTCCAGTACCTATACCCCAAGGGGTCACGTGGAGGCAGCGTTCTGTAGGCCTCTAATTTCCAACAGTATGCCATGGCAACTCCGCCATGTCCGGGGAAGTCGGTAGCTGTACGGTTGTCTGGATTCCCAGGCTATGTTGGAAGGCTGCTGGGTCCCCCTGGAGATACAGGACGTGTGGATGGCCATCTTTTGAAGTGAGTAAGCGAAAAGGGTGCCCCCAGGCACACTTGATCTACCTCTGTCAGAGTATCTCTGTAATGGGTCTCCATCCTTTGCGCCTCTGTAAGGTGATAGGTGACCGGTCTTGAAAGAGTGTCAGTTCGGCACCTTCATGTATAATTGGACCTTCTTTGCTTCTTGCCATAAGTGCTTTCATTGGTTTGGAAGTATTGGAACCGAATTATCACATCTCTGGGCTGAGTTGTCTGCCTGTCTAGCCCTAAGCGCTCTGTGTTCCCTGTCAACGTGCCACAGTTTGCCTGGTATATCGGTGCATAGAGGTCTCAGGATGGTCAGTACTACATCTGCTAGTCGGTCCTCAGCAACCCTTTTCAGGGAGACCTCTGAGGTGTAGATTGTTGCGTCTCGATCTGTTCGCGAGATCTTCTGTGGTGGTTTCATGACATGTAAACAGACCGTCAGGGATGTGACCCGGTCCGTGACTGCATTGTGGGCCGTCGCAGTTGTTTCCAGCCTTTGTTCCAGGGCGGCGGTTCGCACACCCAGGTTGAATATGCTTTTATAATGAGCAAATTACGTCAATACTTACTTTATGTGGCAGTTTATTTCTGGTTTTATGCTTTAATTTGTTATTAATGTACACAATTGACTAGGTTCCGAAGTATTCAATGCAGGGCACTGCTAATGTTGATGTATGCATTCCACAAAACCTGATGATCCCCATACATGCCCTTCAGCATGAGCAGGTCAGTGCTTTTCTAGTCAATGTAAAACAAATTAATCACATCCTATTTCATCCACTTGAATGATCAATATCCAACAGTTTGAAGCAAAGGTCATCTGTAAAAAGATCTAGCTGTATGATTTGTATGTTTGTTTCTCTTCGTATTTGGCAAGCTATACCAAAAATAAAAAGAGATCTTCTTTATGGATGTAGTGCTCATTCAGCAAATTATTAGTCTGAAACGTTTAACTTCTAAATATTTTATTGTCTTTGCTTTAGAATATCCAACTGGGAAATGACTAATTACAAAGTATTACTCCACACAATACTGCTAATAGACATACCACGACCGAATGTATTTGTGTATACCTTTTTAACAAAAGTAATATATGAGCCTCCATGTCTGTTTGCATGTTATGGGTTTTTTTTTGTGTGCATTTTAAAGCAATGTGACTCATTTGGGTTTGGTTTTTTTGTAGAAGGGCTTAATATTCTCACAACTACATATTTGTTTAGGTGCTTGCATACTTCTAATTGCATTAGCACATTTACTGCAAAGATGGCTGTAAATGTCTGAACCTCATCTTAAGGTATTTGGAACTCCTATGTCTATATGCTGGATGTGGGCAGAAAACAAACGTTCATCTTCAATATTTAATCGAAAGGGACATGATCTATGCAGGTTCCATTATGAAAGAATAAAGTTAAAATTCATGGTCCCTGTCAATGCCCAGCTTAAGATCACAGGTTGTTAATTTTTGCTAATCAAGCTTCATTATGCCTCATAATTATATGAATGTGAGAACTGATTTCTGATTTTCAGCACAAGGTATAAAAGAGGGAATAAATTATGTTCAAGGAGCAGTTAAATAATTATTACAGCAATGCCTGTAAATAAGAGATTGCATGCCCATGTGGAAACTGTTGGATTACCAGCTCCCTCTTTAGAGAGACAGAGTCTGTGTGTTTGTTTTGTAATGACTTGCTTATACCTTCCTCTAAAAGTTACATTAATGGAAACCTCCAAACCGGAGTTGTCCCATAATTTAAAGGAGTCTGGAGTACTCTGGTGCTGTCCTATTCAGTGTTAACATTTTTTTTTAATGCTAAATGTGAGTCCGCTGTGCTGCTTGGGCTAATTGCCTTACCCATACTGCCAGCTGGGCTGTGGATAGATCCAGGGAACTCCAGGCACAAGAACCAATTTAATAAGATGAAATCGTTAGAGTGCATAAAGACACCCAGACTGCTTAATTTCACTGGAATGCTCTGGGTGCAGTGGCCCTCTAGTTTTAACCAGTGTAAAATATCGAATGTTTTAATTGCAAAGTTAACACACCTCCAGTGGCTCTTCCATGTTAAGAACAGAGTTAAACTGTTCTCAATCAAATGCTGCTCCTAGAGCCGGAGTTTGATTGGTTCAGTGCTTTGGTTCACATGCGCACTTGTGCCCCTCCCCCAGTGCTTCCCCATTGTGTTGGCTGAGATCATCCCAATAGAGGATCACAGCAAAAGAGGCAGGACCGACCGCACGGAGAGCAACACAACAACGCTAAGTTAAACTTATTTTTTATTTTTTCAGCCTGGAGGTGTCATAAAGTTGGTGACTATAGCATTAGGAACACTTGTTTGTATTTATGTTCTTGTGTCCCTTTAAATAAACACTCCAAGCACCATTGCCACTACAGCTTGCCTTTATGGTGTCAGGAGTGTGCTGGCACACGCCACGCCAATGTAAGCTCAGGATTGCTAACAGAGGTTCCAGCTTATGAACTTCTCTGTTGTCAGGAGTGGAGGTGGAAAGCAGCACTTTTCAGAGGCCATGTAAAACGTCAAACCAAATTAAAGAACACTATAATCACCAGAACCAATGCAAGTTAATGTAGAGGTTATGGGGTTTATAGCCTGTCCGTGCATGCTGAACAGTGTAAATGCTGCCTGGGGAGTCCTGAATCTAACTAGGTACGCTAAAAGTACTAACAGTGGAGCATTAGGAAATATATGCTTGTATTCCTAATGCTATAGTGTTCTTTTAAAGAATATACAAATTCCTATTAGAATAAAGAGTATAATAAGGAATAGTATCTTAAATTAAATACAGCTCCTGTGTAGCTTCTGCAAAATATACTATGCAACATAGTTGAGCATGTGAAAACCTTTTTTCTTTTTTTTTTTTTTCTTGTTCCTCAAAAAATGTAGGTTTATTTTTAAATGATGCTTTATGTTGAGTAAGCTCAAACTTAAAACTTCAAATAAGAGGAAAGATAAGAATATAAATTGGCAACTAGATGTTCTATGCATAGTAGACAAGACCGCATAGTGAATATCAGTTAAATCTGTTTTTAAAATGTTTTTGAAATACAATCTATCTTGACTTAAGTGTGATTTATAATAATATTTGATAAGGGGAAGAGCTTCAACCAGCTTATGCTGCAATAAATTGCCATTTCCCATCTACTTTTCTAGGTAACAACTGATTGGAGCAAGCATCTTCTTGAGCAATGTGCAATAGATACCTATGGCAGGTCATTGCATGTGTGTTAGAACATCTATGGATCCCCATTTGTACTCTGCTAGAGTAGAGGTGCTCAAAAGGTAGATCACCAGATGTTGTAGAACTAAAACTCCCATGATGCTTTGCATGTCTTTAAAATGACAGCATCATGGAAGCTGTAGTTTTAAAACATCTGGGATCTACCTTTTGGGCACCTCTGCTCTAGAATATCCAAGACTGCACCAGTACCACAAGATTTTTGGAAGTATAATTTTCTGCTGTGAGGAAAGAATAGGGGTAGTTGTATATCAGCATTCATTTTTGTAAATCAGTGAGGTTTTAAGGAAGTGTATAAAACTAAAGGACTAATTTCCACATGTAATTGGGATCATCGCTACCTAATGTTTTGTTTACCTGTGGGATATCATACTTTATAATGGAGACTATCCAAAGTATAGATTTACTTATTTGTTAGAATTATGTGTGTGTTTAAATATTTTCCACTGCCTTCTGAATTCGTTTTGTCTGTAGCCCATATAATAACCCACACAGGGATCCTTCCAATAACTGCATTTGACCATTTTCGTTGTAAGGTTAAACCTGGCGTTATCTTACAATATTTCTGCAGAGTGTTAATTTCTCTATTATATTACAATATAATAATAAGAGAGATTATACTTTTTCCTGAGTCTCTGGCTGAAATATCTTAAGCCTCAGTGTAATACACTGCAATTTGTAAGGACTATAAATACAGTAATGATTGAATGCAGCAGTGAAACAAACTGCTCTAAATGATCTCCCCGTTGTATGTGCAAGGTGATTCTCAAAATGCAAGTTCATAGTCTATAGTTATGTGTTCTTGAGTCTTTTATATGTGCTTTACAGAAAACCATAAGTATTCATTGCTTTATCTTCTAAAATTTTTTTTTTTTTATTGGAGTCTCACTGGTGATCTGTTCTAAGCTTTGTGCTTTGTTAATGGAATGTCCATAAGTGTTCAGAGCATATTTCATTAGGGTGTGCTCCCAAGGAAATCTTTTCTTTATATTGCCTGGTAATGTACCAAAATAGGTTTTGAAATTTCAAACCTGATGTTTTTCATCTGAAACTGCCCTATATTATCATTTATAAACACTTCTTATTTCCACCTAAAACTATCCTTTTCGAAAGGACTTTGCATGATGAAAAAAGTGTTACTGTAATATTTACTCTTTAAGAGCCTATAAAGTCAGACAGCCGAAGAACAGAATATACAGTCTCAGATATTTGGCAGAGAAATATGGAATGGTCAAATTAGAGCTCTCTAGCAATGAGTCCTTCTCTCAAAGTCTTTGAGAGAAAAATCCAATGAATCTCTAGATAGCAAGTAATAGTAAGGAGAAGTAAAGTGCATGGGAAATAGTACACAAAATAAAATATTCTAAGCTGAAAAGGTGAGGTATTTAAAATATTGCATAATCTAGAAAGAATAACTTCTGTAACCTAAAGCCTGACTTCCATCTTAAGTGAGGAAGGGAATTGTCCTGGATGTATGGGGCAGTTGGATGTTTATTTTTCTTTTGAAATTAGCCATTTGATCAAAAGACAAGCTATGCAGTAATTTTACACTCTAAAGCACTTAATGAAGCTGGAATGCTTGCTTTAGGGATTTGACGTGTTCGATTAAGGAGTCTATATGGGATAAATTGTAAGGTTGGCAATGCTACTGTCCTTGGGGGGAAAAAATAACCTTTAGGCTATTCTAATGGTGCTTAAAAACAAACAGATTAATGTTGCCTTCAAAGTACACCTGTACTATAAAACAAGTGTTGTTGTTTTTTTGTAGCATTTATAGTATACATTTGCATACTTTTGGCATTGTCTAACCCTAACCTACATATCTATAGCTGTGAAAGAAAAGAGTTTTTTGTGTGTGATGTATTTTCCTTTTTACTATTTTTTTTTTTGGGGGGGGGATGAAGCAATAAAGAGGGTTTGCTTTGGGAAACAAATACATACCATCCTAGAATACAAGATCACTGCATGTCTGGCTTTTGCCTTACGTTACTTATGGATGACTTTATATCTTGAGTTGTCTGGGATAAGGTTACGTGAAATCTTGGATTATGTCTGTACAGTATAATAGCACCTTTAGACTGGTATGGTATCAATTACACTGAGCAGAACATGTCATCTTCAGAAACTTGTCTCTTCTAGTTTTTAGGTTACTTTTGGGGGGTGGTGGGGTTTGATTTTTATTTTATTTTTTGTTTTGCTTTTGAATTTTCTTTCATTGTGTGTATTGTTTTGGACAAGGTATGTTTGCTTACATAATGCAAAATATATAAAACCTAGCATTCCTTACTTGTTTGTGTTTGATCTTTTGTTTTTATTTTTTTCAATGTCTTAATTTTTATTGTTTTTGTGCGATGTCGCACTGACAACAAGTAAAGGGGGTACAGAAAGGAAAAAGGGGAAGGGGTAACAATGAGTTGACACAATCTTCTGTTACATAACAAAGCTTTAGCACAGTTGACATCATACGAAGGATGATATATCTAACATCAATTACACACCAATATGAGGTTACTGATTAGGTCTAGAATCTACCAGTTTCAATGGAGGCTAACGTGAGTATCGAGGGAGAACTTGGGGGGTTCGCCTGCCTGACCTGATCAGCTCACGAAACGGGAAGAGCACCCCTCCTCCCCTACCAGCTGAGGGCCCTCAACCTGGAACGCTGTGTGCACGTCTACTTGGGTATTGGGTGGTCTGCGAGTGCTCTCATCTAGAGTATTTGTGTCACTGAACGAGGTATCCCTCCCTCTACTCCTCAGTCCTCTATTTACTGGAGCGTGTTGACACCAGCTTACCCATAGTTTTGTGTGTTTGTCCACCTTGGAGCGCAGCCGGAATGCGAGACGCTCATGTTCGTATGTCGTGTGGACTCTCTGTTTCACCTCTTGAATGTTGGGGGGATCTTGGTTTTTCCATCTGCTAGCTATACTAGTCTTGGCGGCTAACAGTATGTGGTAGATAACTACCTTGTGTGGCGAGACCAGTGTTCCTGCTTGAATGTGTAAAAGATAGCATTCTGGACGGAGCGGGATGGAGTTCCCTGTAATTTCTTGTATTAAATTACTAACCTGTTGCCAAAATTGAGTTAGTATCGTGCACTCCCAAAAGACATGGAGTAAGGTGCCCACCTCGACTCCACCTCTCCAACATTGTCGTGGAACAGTAGGATATATTTGGGCCAGGCGGGATGGCACAAGGTACCATCTCATCAGTAATTTACTAAAGCTCTCCCAATGTGATAGGCTGTGCGATGAGGCACGTGTGTTTTGGATTACCTGTAACCACATGGGTAGGGGGAATGTGTTGTTTAGGTCTCGTTCCCATTTTAACATATAGCCATGTTTAGTGGTCCTATCTACATCATTGATTGCTGAATAGCTCAGAGAGAGGGGTTTACCTATGGATTTAGTGGTTATACATCGTCGCCCAAATGTGGTAAGATGTTCTGGATCACTATGGTGTATTTTTAGCGAAGATAGAGCGTGTTTGATGCGCAAATAAGTGAAAAGTTCCCTGGAAGATAACGCATATTCGGCTTGTAAATCAGGGAATTGTTTCATGCCCTGTGTTGTGAATAGGGACTCTACTGTGGTAATTCCCTTTATGAAGATCTTTTGTTTTTAGACGCTCAGCTTATTCTAGCTAAAGGGAGCTAAAGACATAAATCTATTTTGATCTATAAACTCTATCACATCTACTGTTACTGATGAACCATCCCAACCTCTTTCATTTTAATAAATGCCTCCACTAAATATTTTCTCAAACTATTTTAGAATTGTGACCGTTGCCAAAATGTATTGAGCTGGAAACCCTTTTGTTCTCATTTGTTGAAACGTCGTCAGAATCTTGTATAAAATTGAAAGACTGTGTAAAAAAAGCCTGAACAAATCAGCTAAGCTCCCTGGAGTGGGAAGCTTACACAATCCTACGTGCTGCTGGTTAATGTATTCACTGAAACAGAGTGGCTGGGTTGAGTCAGCTGTTTTCAGAAATTCACTGGCAATCTGCCTCGTTTTATTTGTTCGCTTTTGTCCAAGCGGAATGCAGGGGAATATATTATTAGAACTCTGCGACAGGGTCTGTACACTTCCTTTTTCAATTGGCACAGAAGAAGCAAATGTTTTTTGTTTAAGGTTATGCTTTTAAGTTGCACATCACAATGGGAAGTAGAAATTTGTCAAGCTTTTGGTTACAAAGTGCAAATCTAAAAAATAAAAAAAATATTCTCTAATAAGGCAGAGGAGGATGTGCAAAATCCTACTTGATTTAACCAATAAATAACTTGTAATGATTTTTTTAGGACTTGTTGAAGAAACAATTTCTGTTGTTTGAAATTCCTTTGTCACATTTGGCAAGTTGTCGTGTGTGTGTTGGCGTGTCTTGGAATTTTAAGCACAACATTTGGGATGTTTTGAAAGCTGAAATTCATTTATGATTAAGCACAGCAACATTTTGAGATCCATCCTAAAATACTGAATAAATTGCATCTGCATTCCATGAACTTATGACATGTGAGAACACTCATCTAGCTTCAGTAACACTTTGCATCACACACCAGGTGCACTGTAAATAATTCCAGCCTTTAGCGATTCTGTCCTAATAAAATGTAATGGAGTTAAATGGCTTTATTAAATTCGCTAGCTATATCCCTTGAGGTGCTTGGAGTATGCATAGAATGCTGCTTTAATGGTATCTGCTTAAAATGGGTAGATGTATTTTGTATGTTGGTTGGTTTGTATTTTACCACTTTGGAGTCTGAATAATATACTGCCCGCCTCACTGTAACAGTTTAGTACTGTATTTATTGAATCAGACAGCTTGTAGAAAACCACAGTTTAAAATTGAAAAGCTGGCCATTGTGAAAATGAGTATTCTGAGACCGATTCATACCTCCCAATATTTCAAATGGACAAAGTTGGATACTTTCATTTTTGGAGTGTGAGTGGGTTGTTGCCAGGAGCTTGCTTTCTTGAGACATTTGTGGGTCTTATGAATAACAATTTTTGCTACTGAAATGTGATTTAGAACAATGTATCTTTTTTACATGACCAATTTATTGTTTAAAGACTCATTCTTTTAGTATTATTGCTGTACTGTACAGCCCTGCTGCACACTAACATACCAGCATAGGCGTGCACAGCACATTTAGTGTGCACTTGGAAATTCTCTAAAAGGCTGTGTGAGTGTAAGGTAACTGTGTAGGGTGGCTGTAAGTGTTGTAGCTGTCTGTGTGTGTGATGTAATGGCTAGCTGTGAGAGATATGTTTGGGTCGTTAAGAGCGATCTGCGTTGCAGTGCTTGATGTGTGGGTGTATGTGGAAGTGATGTGTGAGTGAGGTGTTTGGCTATGTTTGGGTGGTGTGTGTGTGTGTGTGTGTGTGTGTAGCTATGAGTTATTTGTGTTGGTAGCTGACAGTGAGGTGTCTGACTATGTGGGTAGCTGTCATGTGATTGATTGGGAGATGTTTCATGGCATAACAGCCCAGTTTTAAAAAAAATTTCAAATTCAGCATCATCTTATGGACTCAAAAAATTTAAATAAGAGTCCACTAACACACAAGTACACACATATCGAGACTGCAATCCATCACCGTGCATAATACACCCACACATGCACAAGCAGGTGCTTTAACATACGCACACACAAATAACCATTTACACACACACAAAGATAAACACAAACCTAACACATTCATGTATATCTACACCAAGAAACCCACATACATACATGCACATTCGCAGAAACTTTTGTATATTTGCATGCAGCCATACTCTTAGATATACACACATACAATCACAAATACACATTCGGCCATTTGTGCAGACCCATTCAGAAACACTTGCACTTCCCCTGTGCTTTACAATTTGAGATTAAAATTAGATTCCAACCTTTATTCTCTTATTATTATTATTATTATTATTATTATTATTATTATTATTATTATTATTATTATATTTATATAGCGCCAACAAATTCCATAGCACTTTACAATGAGTGGACTAACAAATATGTAGTTGTAACCAGACAAGTTTGATGCACAGAAACAGAGGGGTTGAGGGCCCTGCTCAATGAGCTTATATGCTAGAGGGAGTGGGGTTAAGTGACACAAAGGGAAGTAATAGGGAAGTAGATTGGTAGAATAGTACTCATTGAAAACTTAGTGGGGTGTTTTTTTTTTTGGGGGTTTGAGCCATTAACAGTTTGATATGCCTTTGTGAAAAAGTGAGTTTTTAATGATCTTTTTGAAGGAGTGGATATTGGGTAAGAGTCTAACAGAGAGGGGAAGGGAGTTCCAAAGTTATGTTGCAGCCTTAGAGAAGTCCTGAATGCGAGCATCAGAGTTGTGAGTATGAACAAAGGATAGTCACAGAGAGTAGAGGCCTAGAAGCAACAGGATTTGGCGATAGACTGGACATGAGGGGTGAAGGAGAGGTGGGAGTCAAAGAGAACATCTGGCAACGAGCCTGATGGCAGCACCATTAACGTGGAGCGAGACAGAAACAGGCGTAGCATCACTTGAGGGAGGAAATACCAGAAGTTCAGTTTTGGACAAGTTGAGTTTAACCCCTTAAGGACCAAACTTCTGGAATAAAAGGGAATCATGACATGTCACACATGTCATGTGTCCTTAAGGGGTTAAGGAAGTGAGCAGCCATCTAGTTGGAAAACATAACTCCCTGCTCCACGTTATTCTCCCCTCCCCCCGTGCCAACCACCCTAGATGTCCGTATAAAGTAAAGTGTAACCATTCCCTACATAAGGATGTACTTTGCCTCTTCGAAATCTCACTCCTGCACAAGCTGGCATCACATCACTAGGTGCAGGATTAGGAGTGCCACCTTCCTAAAATTGGGGGGGATCATTAGAATGTATGTTAGGTACTTTTTAATTTAAGACACAATCCATAAATAAAATTTACTTGCAGGTTTTATTTGTTTTGTTTTTTTATCCAAAACCTGTTTTGTATGCTTTTAATCCTTTTTGTATTTAAAAAGAATACTCCAGACCCCTAGAACACTTCAGCAAGCTGATGTGGGTTCACTATCAAGAGTCTGTCCTTTTATAAATTGACCTTATTACACCCCCTGGTTATCTATAAAACACGTCATGTTACTCTCTGGTTGTTTAGCTCAGTGGTGCTATATTCAAGAGCCAGCGACTGACAAAAGCAACTGCCATGCAAAGACTTCGCATTAAGCTGCATTGGGAAGTCTGGCATTGGACATAGAAAGTCTGAGTGGGGTTAGAAGTGGAGTGCTTGCAAAGGCTGCAGATGACTTTTTGCTGTGCCTTGCCGCAAGTTGAAAAATCATCTGATATGCTTTTAATAAGATTTCCTATAAATCTACATTTAATTTTTATTTTTTTGTATGTGTTTTGCAGTATTCTCATTTTAGAATATTGTTGCAGGACAGCAATATAGCTGAATATGTTCACACCAGTGGGCCTTTTGTTTAGTTAAAGGTTTGGTGAGCATAAATAGCTTGTTTGATAACTCATCGATAGCTAAATACCTTTTTTGTAATGTTACAGATAACATGTCTTCAAGACTTTTTTGGAGAAGATGATGTTTTCATTGCCTGTGGACCTGAGAAATACCGATATGCCCAAGATGACTTTGTTCTGGATCACAGTGGTAACTAAAAAAATAAATAAAAAATATATAAATATATATTATGTAAGCTTGTTTGAGTTGGGTCGACTTTATTTTAATTTTATTTTTTACTTTTTAGATGTACATACAAAAACATAGACAAAGACAAGTAGATAGGATGTAGGGTATATTTAGTGTATTTCTATAATTGATTATCTGCTAATCCCTTTTCTCTTATAGATTAATATAGAGGGCTCAAGGCAGGGGGAGCATATATCCTCTAAACGTTGGTTGCGGTAGATACGATTTCATACCTTTTTTATAGAAGATTTTAGCAGGAGAAAATAGGGAAGCGTGATCTCATAGTTAGTTTTTTGATCCATTTATCCCAAAGAGTGTATCGAGAGCCAACTGGGCAAGAATATCTTGCAGTGGTACATTCCATTTCACAATGAGAGACCATTTGTGAATGTATCTCAGGCTCGCTGCTTACTACAGAAGATCGCAAATTCTTAGCTATTGAAGTTTCTCATCGACTTATTATTCCTGCAACATTTTGTAATTGTTTCATCTATTGTTAAATATTTCCCTTTATGATATTGTAAAGAGCTACTCTATATATAAATGCAAATAATAATTTTAAAAAGTAGTTAAATTAATATAGTTTATTAATGTTTAATTTACATTGGATTTATTTTATTAAACCACCTAATAATAGTTTTCTATTTAAGATATGTTATAGACAAAATTATATTTGGCATAAAAAATTTAATTCTGTAGCATGTGGCTGTTTATTTAAATGTTTGGTAAACTAATTCCATTAATCCAAGTTATTTAACTTGTGTCTGCAGATATTTTTATTTTTAAACTGCAAACATGTTTTTAAATAAACATACAAAGATCAGAATTTACTGTAATTCCATTATTGTTCTGCAAATCTATGTCCACACAATGAACACCTTAACTTTAAAGGGTTACTTTAAACCTCATAACCCCCACAGCCCGCTCTAGAGGTTATGACAGTAGCAGTGCCCTGGCTCCATTCCCCAGTATTGTGGCAAACCGTTACATTGGTTTCCATCGGGTGCCAAAAAGTCCAGTTCAGCAGAATTGACATCCAGCTTCAGAAGCTGGATGCCAGTCCTGTCACTCATTTGATTTGCAGAGAGCATCAACTTACTCCTCTCAGCCAATGAATGAGCACCTGTTATTATTTCTGTGTATAGAAATATGCACAAAAGTGACAGTAGCCAGTCCGGGGCTCTGTTCTGGGCTGGCAAATGATGTTCCAGTGATGCTGCCAGATGTGGAGTTACACTGCAGTAAAATGCTGTGTATGCAGACACCATGACCAGTTCACATTACTGAAGTGTTCATGGTACCTGGAATAATAACCTATTAGGTTGTTCTCCAATCTATTAAACTGGAGATGGTTCACCTTGCAATAATGTCATCATTATCTATGTATTTCTAATGGTATATAACAAATCAAGTTATGATATAATATTCTAATTTTTAAATCTTCATCTGGTTGCAAATGGTAAATATAACAACCAGCAAGAATGAATCTTTACGTTTAAAAATCATGATTTAAATCTAGTCTTATGTACTAGTGGTTTAAATTGTCCTGATATAAATCAAATTAGCTTGGTTTAGAATGCTTTTTAAAGTTTTTTTGTTTTATGCAAAGTGCACTGTGCATCTTCTGTGTTCTAATTGGGCATGATGCTTCAGTTTATGCTTTTCTTTGCAGAGTGCCGTGTTCTGAAACCTGCATATTCTCGTTCCGTTAGACATTCCGGCTCAAAAAGCCCTGGGTTATCACGTCGTAGCAAGTCTCCAGCAACAGGTATGGGAATGAAAGGGATGTTTTCATTGTACAAATCATATTTTATAGATCCTGTTGTTCATACCAGAGATGTCATCTTATTGTGGGTAGTCAAAGAACTTGCAAACTTAACAAAAATACCTGCTTCTCAGTGGGTGAACTAAAAAAAAATGTTTACTGGCCATTCCCTTTGGGGAGAACTTGTAGCATCACGGATAGTTGCAGTATCCATATATAATAATTAAAGGGACACATTAACCACCAGAACCACTAATGTAGTGATTCTGGTGTCTACAGCATGTCCCTTCAAAAGGCAATGTTTACATTGCTGCTTAGTATCACCTCAGATGGCCACAATAGGTGCTTACTAGTTCAATGGTGTACATTGTGCTGCACTGGCGTTCAGCATCTCCACACTCTGCATGGAGGCGCTGAACGTTCCTCAGAGATGTAGGTGATTAAAAGTCGCCTAACCACCCGTAAGTCCCTCTAGTGGCTGAAAACTGTAATAATTACCACTGCAGGGTTAAGGGATTTGGACTATGCACCCAGACCACTTCAATGAACTGAGATGTCTGGGTGCCTATAGAGTGTCTATTAAAAAAGAAAAAGCCAGCTTATGGCTGTGTCCCATCGGGTTTAACACACATTAGGTGTGGACACTTCTTCGTTCTTTTAGCTTTTGTAATAAATAACTAGGTTTTCTATAAAACTCTATTTTGTTTTTTATGATGTCATTTGGGAAGTTAATGAATAATGTGCACTAACATTATAATGGAGAACGTCTTTCCATGATCACAGCACATTAATTTATTCTATGAAACTGTTTATCTTGTGTGTAAATCATACTTTGATAATACTATTTAAATGTTACTCCTGTTGCCGTTTTATTTAGTTTTCCCTCTGCAATAAGGCCATCCTCTAACAGTCCATGTGGCCAATAAAACCACTTTTATTTTACCTTTTAGCACATTTCTTCCCTTAAAAATGGGGTTGCCATATGTCACAAATTTTAATGGGTTTGTCTCAAATGATCCTGGTAGGGAAAGGGATAGTGTCCTATTTGCACCAGAGATCAGAAGATCTTCGATTCCAACAAAACATTGTGATATAGGATAGAGCTCCCAGTCTGGATTTTCTTTCATATCTTCAGCATCATGTTCTGTAATTTCCGTGCATTTTGAATGTCCGCTTACAATAATTAGTATTCCAGACAGCATTTTAATTCAATTGTTTTTTTTTTTTTTCTCCTTTAGACTGGAATGGCATTAAGCTCGGCCCATAAAGTGGGACTCTCCTTAAAGTGGGACCTGTTCATAACAGGTCCCACTTTAAGCTCTGCCCATAAAGTGGGACCTGTTATTTTACAGAGCAAAATACCCATGTTTTGACACTGCGCACTTATTCACAGTTTTTTTGTGATGCTCTGTGAGATGCATTTGTGCCGTTTTTGGTCCCTCAGCATTATCTTATTCAGTTAGTTTTGGAACCATTGGCTGTTTAAAGGCACAAACACTGAGCCATGTATTCTAGCAAATGTAGAGTGTATTAAAAAATATATTTTTACAGCTCTTGTTTTTATTTTTTTCAGTAAATTACCTGCTGATGTGCCTGTGAATTAACTAAGTTTTTAAGTTTGTTTGATTTCTGAATGTGTATTCCTTATTATATCCCTTATCCCATATAGCGCCAATTTTTTTTTATTTTTTTTTAAAAACACCTCACAGGCTTATCTGCTAAAAAAAGGGCAAGTTCTATATTGTATTACTCTCAGAAATTCCATTTACATATCTGGAATATTTTGCAATGATTAAAAAGTTGTGTTTTTGCCATATGTATACATATAATGCAAGTTGGTTATTTTCGATAATCAATCAAACTCTAGGCCACGATTTAAAACCATATTTTATGTAATATTTTCATCTATCGAGCTTTATTTAGCTACTATGATCACTATCGTTTGACTGTGTTTCACTGTGGCGATGTCTTCGTAAAATTGTATCACAATTTTTAAACCCTCTATGATCACTACCAAAAAAACTGCCAAGATGTCCATGTCTGGGTAAGGGAAGTTGAATTGACTTTATAGGTTTCCTTGTTTGTGTGAACTTTAGTTCTTATTAATTTTTTATTTTATTTTTTGGTATTTGTACCCTTGTTAATAATGAATGCAGGAAAGAGGGGTGGTTACTACACCAGTTCATATTCTACAAAATCCCCAGGTGAGCACTTGTGGTTGTGGCTTTTTATCTTGGTTTGATCAGCTCACCTGCTAGCGCTTTGCTTAAGTCCAGTTTCATGACGCTGTTCTTTTCTACATCTGTGCTTAATCATTAAGGCATCATGTTCTACTCCGTCTTACAGCATTTGGACTAGTGGGTCCTCAAAAGATATTTATATTTGCATTGCCCTATCAATTCATAGAAATTCAGGGACTTGAAACTAAAGCTATTAAAACCAACCAGTAGGCCCCTATAAATGGATAACTGCACTATATAGCAATGGAGGACCCTTTAGCTGAAATGCTGTGTTTTGTTTTTTGGGGTCAGGGGGTGTTTTGTGTTGGAGTTTATCTTTGCTTCTAAAAGTTAATCCTGTCATTTTCTCATGTGATGAAAAACTGAATATATGTCACCTAATTAAATGTTAAAAAGTGTTTTTGTTCACTCGCTAGTGATATTTTTATATTTTAAAGTGATGTTGTTTAGCTAACACCAACCGCCTTTAGCACTGGAGCTGCTGTGGCCAACCACACTTAAAGCACTTAAGCTGTGTAAATTGCAGAATGAATATCTCAAAGGATCCAGCAACAAAGTATTCTTCTGGTTCATCGTATTGGTTGGCGGGTGGGAAATTAAGGAAGGAGAGAGTTACTTGCAATATCCTTACCATTTCTTATAGCTGAAAGACCAGCACTTCTCCATGGCTCCCATCACCAATATAGGAACCTTACAAATAATTCATAGACTTTATAGCTCTGCATATCTTTCTCAATATAACATGTGCTTAATTGCATGTACTTATCACCACTGCATACAAAATGCTAACCATCAGTTATTCCACAATCCCCATTTTCTTTTTCACCAATACTTTTAAATGTAGGTTTTTTTTATTATTTTACGCTCTCTTCTATTGTCCAGAATAAGCTAGGTTTTTTTTTTCCCGTTTGTCTTCAAACTGCTGCGTTGACATTGGATAAATTGTGCTTTCTCCTTGCTGGTGATCTCCCAAACCTTATAAAGGTTTTTTATATATATATATATATATATATATATATATATTTATATATATATATATATATATATATATATATATATATATATATATATATATATATATATGTATGTATATGTAATAGTAGTAATATCAATTATCCCATGTATACGTATTTAATTGTATATACTTTTTTTTTTTAACTGAAGATGTGTTGGTATTCCTTGCAAATGGCATGAAGAATATTTACAAACAAGCAAGATTTATTCTGAAAACTTTTTTCCTAAAATTGTAATATTATCGTGATAATAAACATGTGTATGTGAGTGTGTGTATGATAAAGAAACCATTTTACACTGTTACTCTTAAATTTGTGTATTTCTTAATGTTTGGATTATTTATTTCAGTAAACGGAACTCCTAGCAGCCAGTTATCCACTCCCAAATCAACAAAATCTTCATGTTCGTCTCCAACCAGCCCAGGAAGCTTCCGTGGTCTAAAGGTACAAAATGCTTGTTTTCAAGTTTGAATGTGCAAATGTTTTTACTTTTTTGCTTGGAATACAGGGAGTGCAGAATTATTAGGCAAGTTGTATTTTTGAGGATTAATTTTATTATTGAACAACAACCATGTTCTCAATGAACCCAAAAAACTCATTAATATCAAAGCTGAATATTTTTGGAAGTAGTTTTTAGTTTGTTTTTAGTTATAGCTATGTTAGGGGGATATCTGTGTGTGCAGGTGACTATTACTGTGCATAATTATTAGGCAACTTAACAAAAAACAAATATATACCCATTTCAATTATTTATTATTACCAGTGAAACCAATATAACATCTCAACATTCACAAATATACATTTCTGACATTCAAAAACAAAACAAAAACAAATCAGTGACCAATATAGCCACCTTTCTTTGCAAGGACACTCAAAAGCCTGCCATCCATGGATTCTGTCAGTGTTTTGATCTGTTCACCATCAACATTGCGTGCAGCAGCAACCACAGCCTCCCAGACACTGTTCAGAGAGGTGTACTGTTTTCCCTCCTTGTAAATCTCACATTTGATGATGGACCACAGGTTCTCAATGGGGTTCAGATCAGGTGAACAAGGAGGCCATGTCATTAGATTTTCTTCTTTTATACCCTTTCTTGCCAGCCACGCTGTGGAGTACTTGGACGCGTGTGATGGAGCATTGTCCTGCATGAAAATCATGTTTTTCTTGAAGGATGCAGACTTCTTCCTGTACCACTGCTTGAAGAAGGTGTCTTCCAGGAACTGGCAGTAGGACTGGGAGTTGAGCTTGACTCCATCCTCAACCCGAAAAGGCCCCACAAGCTCATCTTTGATGATACCAGCCCAAACCAGTACTCCACCTCCACCTTGCTGGCGTCTGAGTCGGACTGGAGCTCTCTGCCCTTTACCAATCCAGCCACGGGCCCATCCATCTGGCCCATCAAGACTCACTCTCATTTCATCAGTCCATAAAACCTTAGAAAAATCAGTCTTGAGATATTTCTTGGCCCAGTCTTGACGTTTCAGCTTGTGTGTCTTGTTCAGTGGTGGTCGTCTTTCAGCCTTTCTTACCTTGGCCATGTCTCTGAGTATTGCACACCTTGTGCTTTTGGGCACTCAGTGATGTTGCAGCTCTGAAATATGGCCAAACTGGTGGCAAGTGGCATCGTGGCAGCTGCACGCTTGACTTTTCTCAGTTCATGGGCAGTTATTTTGCGCCTTGGTTTTTCCACACGCTTCTTGCGACCCTGTTGACTATTTTGAATGAAACGCTTGATTGTTCGATGATCACGCTTCAGAAGCTTTGCAATTTTAAGAGTGCTGCATCCCTCTGCAAGATATCTCACTATTTTTGACTTTTCTGACCCTGTCAAGTCCTTCTTTTGACCCATTTTGCCAAAGGAAAGGAAGTTGCCTAATAATTATGCACACCTGATATAGGGTGTTGATGTCATTAGACCACACCCCTTCTCATTACAGAGATGCACATCACCTAATATGCTTAATTGGTAGTAGGCTTTCGAGCCTATACACCTTGGAGTAAGACAACATGCATAAAGAGGATGATGTGGTCAAAATACTCATTTGCCTAATAATTCTGCACTCCCTGTATAAACTTCCCTGGCATTATTGGCATACTTGTTTTATAATTTGATTTAATCAGTATTTAACTTATGACTGAGATTGCAAGGTTGACCCAATAAAGGATTTAAACCTGCTTTTTTGGAAAAGTCTGTTTTATGTATGTTTGCTTCGCAGATTATTCTGCATATGTAATGCAAAACCTGTATTTTCTGCATTAGGTAGGTTGCTAAATTGTTCAGAAAGTCCTTCTTTCATTCTTTTCCTGTAAGGAAGCACAATAAAAACCCCTGCTGCTTGTGGAAGGAAATTGACGCTCCAAGCCTGGACAACAGTGACAATACAATGTGTCCAGTCGCTAAAGGAAATCATATGCTTTCCAAATTAACACTATTCCAGTGAATTCAGTTATGTGGATAAAACACTGTGCTGCTATGTTCTGTTACATAGTAATCAATACTAGACGTACAGCGAATTGCTCACTTCAGGACATTTGAAAAAGTTGGCTAACTTCAATTTATTTATTTCATTCAATTTATTTATTTCCCTCTACATTTTGACTATTCAATTTTCAGTTCACTACAGATCCCTATTTATTGAATACACTTAAGTCATTTTGTAAGGTTTCTGAAGTCCAACATATTCTCAAGACTTTCTGATTTTGCCTTAATATAGCAAACGTTTTTCAGTTCATTGTTTAGTGCATATTCGGTGGCACAGAATGCTCTTAAACCTTTTAGTGCGGTGCATTTTACATGCCAAGCGTGGTTTGCGTGATGCTGAAATGGTACTATCTAATATAGCATTGTTACATAGTTTCTGATAAATTAACAGTTTAAAATGACACTTATGGTTAAGTGTCCTAGTTTTTAGGAGGCTTAATGTTAAAGGAGACTTGTGTTCAAGGAATATATGTCTGCAACATGGTGTAGATTGTAATTCTCATGATTATCAGCTAGGCTAAACCTCGTAATACCAGGAAGAGAACACTGACCTGCTACAAGAACACATCATGTATACATAGTCAACCATGGTTAGAATCAATTAGCAACAGAGCATCATGGGTGCAGGTTAGGGAACTGGAAGTTGGCTGGGTCGATTTACTGGACACTGTGTGATGTTTCCACTGATTGCATCTGCTACAGAGAAATGTTGTGGGAGATACAGTTCTCAAATCCATTCTGCTGTACTGATAGTAATGACTGTTTGGTAGTTAATGTACATCCTCTATCATGAATCACTCATAAGCTACATTTTATTTTTGAAAGTACATTTGTTTTGTGATTGGATCAGTGGATGGGCCACTTTACTATTAGAAGCACTTATATCTCCCCTCTGAGTTGTAAACTCTAGCAACTAACACTTACCCACACCATATGCTTCCATTTATTTCCATTAGTTTACATGCTCTCTGGCATACAGTACAATACTGTAAAATGTGTTGGTTGTAGGTACTTGCAGATAAGTGGGGGGTTTTTATGCTCAGATTTTGTTTTTAAACCATTTGTTTTATGCTCAGATAGCATCTTAGATTTTCTCTTGATACGGAGAAGAACAATACCCAAATTCATTGCTCAGTATCCCTGTTTAGTTTCCAAAGGTCAGAGCAAATACTGGACAGAGAGGCATATGTTTACTCTTTTGGCTATGGAATTTATTCACTAAACAAAGAATGGTGGATAATTTAAGATAGGACTGTAGAATAGTGTTTTGCAGTATTTAGTAATTTGTTATACCTTGTATCTTGCATATATTATTGGTTGTTGGGTTTTGTTTTTTTTTGACTTTTTGTGAAGCAATCCATATTAAGAGTTTGGATGGTATCTATATTGTTACTTGGCAGCAAGTTTGTCATTTTTGTATTATCATTGCTTGTTTTGTCTTTGCTTTATACCAAATGAGCAGATATAAACAGAAGAAACAAATCTAAAGAGCAATTTATGTGTATAATATAAGCCATCCTGTAGAGATGGTGCGCTTGACATGCTATGGGACAAGTAAAATATTCAATGCAAGGGTTCTGCCCCCCACTTTGGCATTATAAGAGATGAAGCAAGCTGGCAAGTGGTGTCATAGTGCAGTCTAACATTTTTATCAACCCCATAGGTCCTTGTAGATGATTAGTTCACTTGGCTGCGGCCCAGAACAGAAGTAGGTCTGATATAATGATGGCAGGCACACCTCTGCGACGGACATCCATGAATTGCCCTTGCGGCACAGTTAATCAGTACTGACGTGCAGTGTGTCTCGATTCCTCCACCACCTTTCCTCCCCTTTCAGTCTAGATTGGTGCCAACAGAAACCTCTGTGACGCAGAGTCTGCTGGGTCTAGTGAGTGATCACTCAGGAACGGCAGGTGCCTCAGTCCTATCTCCCCGAACTGCAGTGAAATCCTTCTCTACATCAAAACCAAAAATAAATCGTTTATTAGTGATTTAGGGATTTTCCCTTTCCAAATGCACTTTGCCTGCTGCATTACCATTATCAGAATGCTAAATAGAATATACAAATGAGTGCACACAGCGTTAGGAATCTAGTTTTCATGTGTACATCTATAAACACTATGTAGTTCTTTGCAGTAGTTCTTTATTTTGGAACAAGTTGGTGTCTAGGGCCAAATGATCATTAAGCAAGTGGTTTTTGAGCTCCTAGCTTTCCATGGTGCAGGAACTGGTTTTGTTCAGAACTGCATAGCTTTCACCTGTCAGACTGAAAGGAACATATATACAAGGCATCATTCAAAGGTGTGCCATAATTATAGGGCCACATTGTCCTCCATTGTCTCTTGTTTCTCTATCTGTGGTCACTATTACATGACTTTGCATTTTCTTGCTGTGTTTTTAGGACACCAACAAATCTTAGCTGTTTCTGTATACAGCTAGTTACCACAAGATTACTTTTTTACTGTTACCTTTTATTCTTTATTTCTACCTCTAGTATTTTTTTAAGAAGAGTTTGGATTGTAGCCAGCTCTTAGAGCCGTCAGACTCTTATAAAGGCCTTAATGTAATAAGCTCTCTAAACTATTCAGTGATGCTAGAAAACATTTGTAATGATTTTATCTTCAAAAAGTCTCATAGACTTTTTAATGGTGACTTCTGTAGAGAAATCATTTGGAAAGCTTATTAAATAAAGGCCAAAGTTAGCTGTATTTGCCTACTCAAGGAATAATAAACAAGTGTCAATAGTCATATGTAATCAACAGAGCAAAAAATCAATCCATAAATAAAATACACAATAAAGAGTACTGTAAATGCATCCACTGTGACAGAGGGTCTAGATTTTAAATTCCAGATCCCATGTAATCTAATTCTTCTGGTAATTGTGATTACATGCTGCAATTTAATGCTAATGATTATCATAAGCAGACTGCAAGGAACACTATGAATGGAAGGGGAACCTCTCTAGACAGGTCATCTTAAAGCACACTGCCAAAACAATTGTCATCTGAATAACTGGTTTGTTTATGATTTTTCTACAGCTGTACAAATCCTGCTTTGTACACTCAAGACACTTCTGTTTCAGAAGAGGAACATTTCCATGAAATATTAATTATTCTGAGTAAATGATAGGGACGTGTTAAAATGCAAAGTTTCTCATTAAATATTTATGTAAATAGATTAGTGTTACATTCCAAATGCAACAAAAATGTTTTGTTTTTCTTTTTTTAACAGAGGATTTTTTTTGTTTGTTTTTGTTTTCATATCCTCATGTTTTATTTGTATTCAGAATTCCATCACATTTATCATGTTCACAAGTGTAGCTTTGTATTGTGTGCTATTTATTTAACATTTTTATACATCCTCATGTATTCTCTACTATGCACTCTAAAACTCTAACCCCAACTCACCACTTTATCGTTTCTACTAATATTTGTTAAAGTAAATGTTATCCAAAGTGGTATCCCATGGTCTAGTGCAGGGGTAGGCAACCTTCGGCACTCCAGATGTTGTGGACTACATCATGGGAGGTGTAGTCAAAAACATCTGCAGTGCCAAAGGTTGCCTATGCCTGGTCTAGTGGCAGTCTAAGGACCATCACTCACCTTTCCACAGTGTCCTTTTTTGGGAGAACCAGTATAAACCCCGCTGGATGAGTGGCCCAGCATGATATTAAATCTAGCACATAGAAATATTCTGACTTCTCAGTAATTCTACTAATATTTCTGTTTGTATTTATGCTAATCCAGCCAATGAAAATTATTTTATTTGGCTCGATGATGAGCACAACCATAATATGGGTACTGACAAAACTGCCAGACCCCTATTTCAGAAGATGTGAGCCTTATGGGTTTAGAGACAGGAGATCAGTTTAAATTGTATACCACATTTAGGTTAATTTCACCTTCCAGAATTAGTCAGAAACCAAAGCATGCTTACTGGTGATTAATGTATATCCTAAAATTTTCTATTACTCAATATTCATTGTAGCACATTTTCCTCATGCATATCCCACTGATTAATAGTATGGGCAAACAATTTTAGTATGAGTGCAATAAGCTTTGCATTGCTAAATATATAATGAGCTTCCAGCTACAGTGCCCACAAAGACATTATTTGCAACAATAGCAGCCAAACATTCACCACTTATCTTCTCATCTTTCGGTTTGGTTGTCTTGAGCTATTGATCTTCAGTTGAATATTTTGTATTTTCAGATCCCACCACATTCTGGATCCACTTCTAATGTTAATGGCCTACCAGAATTCTTGAATAGTCCTGAAGGTGAATGTATATAGCTTATTTATATATGGGAAATTACCATTTTATTTTGTTTGATCAACTGTTACAAATATTAGATTTTTTATTTATTTTTAGAGTAGGGGGTGGTTGTGTTTTTTGGTTGCTCTTTTTTTATGGTTTTTGTAAATGTACTGGGGATGAGGTGGGTGAGCAAAGTGCCAGGTAAGGCATAAAGCTTCCCTTTAAATAATATATTATTGCAGACTGCATTTGCTTGTTCAATTGCTTGTCACAGATTGCACACTGATCTGACATTTGTTCCTTTATTAGGGTTGAATGGAAATAGGTACACAGATGCCTCTGTAATCCTTGAGAAATATAAAGTAGGAAAAGTTATTGGTGATGGGAATTTTGCTGTCGTGAAAGAGTGTGTAGAAAGGCAAGTATTCTATTGTACATCCTTCCCATGACTGTAAACGATATTTCACTGTGCTCCAATCAACATAAATGTGCAATAGTGGGGGATAAAATGCATTTGAGTAATTTTAAAGTCTGGTTTGTTTCATGGTTTCCAGCCAACATAGAAAACAAGCTAATCTATACATGCTTGTGTGACATGCATGTCTATGCTGAAAATTACATTATACTAAAAGCCTAAGGCATATTCGAGAGACTGGATATGTGGGTGAGAAGCTGAGTGAGCATATTTGGATTCTTTAGTATAAGGGAACATGCTCAAGACATGCATAAAACGGGCTATACGTAAATCTACAGGTGTCCGGAAGAAGACTAAGATAAAAGGCTCATGCATTTAGGTGCAAACAGAGGTAAGAGTACTGGCTCCCAAAAGGTATAGACGAGGTTGACTATTAGATCTTATACAGTGAGGTTAAAAAACTGGTGAAACAGAAGCAATCAACAATCTATAGACTGTGCCAGCAGGCAGTGAAATGACACCACAATTATATGTATTATAGAACAGAGTTGGTCCCCTGAATTCAGCCGATGTACCTCATAGAGACTCTGTGTGCAGGCCTGGGATAGAAGTTGGGGAGCATCCTCAGCTGCACACTGCCACTCTGCACTGCACTCATGTGGCACACACAGCTATAACTCTGCCAACCACTTGTGAAGCCATGTTCAAAACTGCCTCAACCGTGCTTTTGCACTGTGACCTCTGTTTTCATGTGGAGTCCTGGTTGCATGGATAGTCACCCAGAAGCCCTCCACTTAATATTTCCATATTAAATACCAGTTTATACCTACTACAGAGTATTTGCAGGAGATTGGTGTATGGTTTGGCAGTTTCATTTATTTTGTGTTACACTTTGAGATATATATGTTACACAAAGTAATGGTATCCATTCCTATTAATATGGTTTGGTAGATACAGCCTGGAATTAAGCTATATAAACAAATATCAAACTATTGTAACTATACAAGTTTTAATTAAATATCTTCAATGAGTGAGAAAGATATAACATTAGAGGAGCATGTATTCTTGGAACCACTAACTGAACAACGTAATAGGTAGCGCATACATTTTCTTAAAACTATTTAATTCATACATGTATGTGCATATTAACAAAATATGGGCTAATTGGCCACTTGTTCATTTAAAAAATATATACGAAGTACATACTTGTCAACATCCTAAATGTATTAGATTTTTAAATACAGTTCTAAAATGGTTTGTAACTTAATATCTTAAATAAATGTGCTGATGTTTAATTTTAAATTTAGTTTTATTTCGTTTTTCAGATCAACTGGAAAAGAGTATGCATTGAAAATCATAGACAAAGCAAAATGCTGTGGAAAGGTATTGACTTAATTTTTCTCATTGTCCTCTAATGCTGTCTGTCAATTATTTCACTGTTTTGGCTATAACGTATCCTAGTGTTTACGATCATTTGAAATTTACATTGGATGCCAGGCTGTGCCTTAAAAGCTGTATTATAATGCAAAAAAAAAAAGAAAAGAGCATAGTTTTAGCATTTAAACAGTGACCTTCCCTGGATTCAGCAGATTTAAAGGGACAGTATAGGCACCCAGACCACTTTATCTCAGTGATGTCGTCTGTGTGCCTTGTTTTGTCGTTTTACAGAAACGACAATGTTTACATTGCATGGTTAAAATGCCTCTTAAATGACTTAAACTTCAATCAGATGCTCTTATAGGCATGTGCAGTAGCTTCCCAATGCTTTCTTATGGGAAAGTATTGGATTGGCTAAGATCATTAAGACGAGGCATGATCAGGCTCAGTGAGAACACTGTGGAGGTGGAGAAATAAGTATCGGTGGATGACTGGAAGGAAGCAGTACACTACAGTGTTAGGAATACAAGCATGTATTCCTAACTCTATAATGTTTCTTTAACAACAGCTAATAGCTTGTAATCGCTACAAATTACCATGAGCTGTCCAACCTTAAGCTTGCTTACAACCTGTTTGATAAATAGCTGCCTTAATCTGCTGCTATTTTTGATAGCCGGTAGCTTGTAGTGGCTATTGATTACCACCAGGTTTCCTACTTTGATGATACATTTCTGCAATTGCCACTGCAGATACCAACCACTAGAATTTTTAGCAGCTTGCTGGTAAACCACAGAAATACACACCTGAGCATGCACACTTTACCCTAAAATGGCCAGTAGTAATCGGTAAATATGGGATGCCTGCTGGAAAATTCTCGATTCAGGACTTTTTGATACAATGTATAGAGTTATAGCTGTCATAAACCTCTTTAAACCTTTTTACACTGGAAATGTACAAACTTCAACATATAGGAAAAGTACAGATGTGAACTAATTGGTCATGGCTACCAGCCACAATTCCTTCCATCTCATTAAAAGTATTGCAGTTTAGCTATTTGTTAGACTGCATAGAAACTGTATGTATGTACGACAATTTTATATTCATGTACTCAGTGGTGTATCCTGGTTTTGTGCTGCCCTAGGCAATATAATATTGTTCAATATATTGTTCATTTTTGTTTGTAAAAAAAAAAAAAAAGATAAGCCAATTTATATTCTGCTATACTTCTTTACCTCTTACAGTAGACCGTTTAACCAGATCAAGTGATATATTAAAAAAAATTTTATTATATGGGGATAAATAGTTAGTCCCTGTAATACAGGAAAATGAACTTTTGCCCAGAAGGTGTCCACAAGTTTATTTTTAGCAGGGATGCGAAAAGCAATTTAGAAAACCATGCATGGTTAAGGTATAATGGGTTGTTTACAATCGGTTCCAGTCTGCGTAAAGCCTGTGAATACGCATGTAAGAGTCGATGTTTTAATCTTGTTAACGTGTTACCATGGGCTTTTTCTAGCCTTGGTTATGATTCCTGCAAGTGGTATTTGCATCACCAATCATGCCCAGTAGGGTTTTTTCCTAATGAGTCTCATCTGCCAGCGGGGTATTATGTTATGCCCAATAGGGTGGCTATTTCAATTGAGTCTTTTCAAGGGTGATTCTTTTCAAATGACTTGGTTATTTTATACTCAGGATTTTAGATATAAGTTAAGATAAAGATAATATGGGGAGTATATTAAGGATATTCATTTTTGATTGCGGAGGGGTATAATAATAGGAACTATGATTAATTCAGTTGACTAGTGATATGTGCGTGAAGATAATAATATAATGAAATATGAGTTTTGTGATTTAAGGGAGTCTGAAGCTTTAAGAGCCCTCTTTTGGAATTGTCTCCCCTTGACAGCTAGATAATAAAATACTATAAATGTGATAATTCAATGTGTATAGTTTAAATGAGAGGATTACATTTTGGATTTCTGTGGTGCTTTGCAATCACTTGAATGTATTTTACATTATAAGCTTGATACGTGACCTGCATACTTCAGTGTTTTAAACAAATAATTGTATGTGCCACTTTCACAACTCGCTATGGAGGTGGTGTATTCCTTCCTTGCTATGTGGTCACTATCGAAATAGTTAAACGTATGTTGGTAAAGCGGCTTCTATTAAATGTTAGTCTTACTGTTTATTTTTATATGAATCAATGTGATAGAACATGGATACAATTGCAGTTGTTCAGCTCAGAACTATAAAATCAAACTTGGCTTAAATCCAGTGCCAGGCCAAGTTGTCTGTGAGGTGATACCCACCTACTTTTGCCATACACTGTTTTCCAAGTCCCAGGTTCTATTAACTGCTTAATAGTAAAACACTAATTGAAGGGGAAGGTGGGCTCAATGTTTTGAGCAGTACAGACCTTTTGCGTATAACTAACATTCTCTGAGGTTAATAAGCACTGGGTGTTCCTCTTGTGAACCAAATACAAAGACAAAAGAAATTTGTCAGGTGCAACATTGTCAGAAATCTGTTAGGTAGGGACATAGAAATCTCTGTTAGGTAGGGACATAGAAATCTCTGTTAGGTAGGGACATAGAAATCTCTGTTAGGTAGGGACATAGAAATCTCTGTTAGGTAGGGACATAGAAATCTCTGTTAGGTAGGGACATAGAAATCTCTGTTAGGTAGGGACATAGAAATCTCTGTTAGGTAGGGACATAGAAATCTCTGTTAGGTAGGGACATAGAAATCTCTGTTAGGTAGGGACATAGAAATCTCTGTTAGGTAGGGACATAGAAATCTCTGTTAGGTAGGGACATAGAAAGGCTCTGTCAGGGCATTGAAACTGTTAACTGTATTTTTCAGTGTTCAAATCTTTTTGCTCAAAGTCTAACTCAAAAATCCTGCTTAGGTTCAGTTCTTTCTAAGTGGGTTATCAAAATCAGCATCCTTTTCAGTCAGACTGTGATATGTGTATTTTTCAAAGTGTTTTTTTTTTTAATTATTATTATTTATTTATTTATTTTTACCAATAAACAACGATGAATTTGGAAAGCTGGTTAAAGCAGGGAACTCTTCAGAATTTTTTTTTTTACTACTTCTACCTCTTTGGCACTTATAGAAACTGAGAAAGATGCTACAACTAAAAATCCAGAAACCATGCCTGAAATAGTTGTATCTACTGTTCTTCAAATAGCAGAGACAAGTCACAAAGATAAAGACATTGACTTTTTTAAGCGAAAGCTAAATTAGTATCAGAAGAGTAAACAATTTATGAGCAAAAAAATTCAAAATGCTAATGAAAAAGCCACAGAGGCTTCTTACAGAGTGAGTTACCACATAGCACTTGCAGGAGAAGCACACAGAACTGGGGAATCTCTAATAAAACCATGTGCAAAAGAAATAGTGTCATGTATTTTAAGTGAGAAGTTGAGCAAAAAAAAAAAAAAAATGAAGCTGTGCCACTTAACAACATAGTTTTGCACCGTGTTCATGATCTTGCTGATGACATTATTATTATTATTATTATTATTATGATATTTATACAGCGCCATCAAATTCCGCAGTGCTTTACAATGGGTGGACGAACAGACATGTAGTTGTAACCAGACAAGTTGGACACACAGGAACAGAGGGCCCTGCTCAATGAGCTTACATGCTAGAGGGAGTGGGGTAAAAAGACACAAAAAGGTAAGGATAGTATTAGACTAATGACAGTTGCAGAAGAGGAATCAGTCAGGAGCTATTAACAGTTTAATTGATACGCTTTTATGAAGAAGTGGGTTTTTAACGATTTTTTGAAGGAGTGGGTGAGCATCTAACGGAGGAGGGAAGCGAGTTTCACAGGAACGGTGCAGCCCTCGAGAAATCTTGAAGGCGAGCATCAGAGGTGGGAGTACGGACAGACGATAGACTTAAGTCTTCAGCAGATTGTAAGGGCCTAGACGGGACATACTTGTGTATAAGGGAGGATAGATAGGTGGGAGCAGCATTATGAATTTTAAATTGAGCTCTATATTTTATAGGAAGCCAATGTAGGGACTGACAGAAGGGTGAGGCATGGGAGGTGCGGGCTGACAGGAAGATGAGCCTCGCTGCCGCATTCATTATGGACTGTAACGGCGCAAGTTGGGAGCATGTAAGACCACTGAGAAGCGGATTACAGTAGTCCAGGCGAGAAAGGATAGTGGAATGGACCACGCATTTGGCGTTAAGTAGGGGCGGATGCGCGCAATGTTTTTGAGATGGAAATGACAGGATTTGGCGATAGATTGAACATGAGGCTTGAAGGAGAGGTCGGAGTCAAAGAACACCTAGGCAGCGAGCCTGCGTGGTGGAGCTGATGGTAGCACCGTTGACTTGGAGGGAGACAGACACAGGAGTAACAACACTTGAGGGAGGATAGACCAGAATTTCAGTTTTGGTCAAGTTTAGTTTAATGAAGTGGGCAGCCATCCAGTTAGAAATAGCAGAGAGGCAGGCAGATACACTAGTCAAGAGGGACAGGGAGAGATCAGGAGAGGACAGGTAGATTTGCGTGTCACCTGCATAGAAATGATATTGGAAGCTAAAGGAGGGAATGAGTTTACCAAGGGAGGCAGTATAGATTGAGAACAGTAGGGGACCAAGGACTGAACCTTGGGGGTTACCAACAGAGAGAAGTTGGGGAGAAGCAGCAGATCCAGAGAAAGAAACACCTAAAGATCGCTGGGAGAGGTAGAAGGAGCACCAGGAGAGAGCAATATCTTGTAGACCGATATTGCGGAGGATGAGAAGAAGCTGTTGATGATCAACAGTGTCAAAAGCCGAAGACAGGTCAAGGATAGAGTAGTGACCATGAGATTTTGCAGCGAGTAGATCATTGGATACTTTGGTCAGTGCTGTTTCCACAGAGTGCTTAGCGCGGAAACCAGACTGAAGCGGGTCTAGCAGAGAGTTGGACTTGAAGAAGTTTGTCAATCTCACATACACAATTCTTTCAAGGATCTTGGATGCAAAAGGCAGTAGCAACATAGGACGATAGTTGGATGGGGAGTTAGGGTCAAGATTGGGCTTCTTTCGAATTGGGGTTTCAGTTGCATGTTTGAAGGGCAATGTAAATATACCAGAGGGGAGAGAGACATTGAGAATTTTAGTGAGAGGTGGAGAAAGAGAAGAAGACAAGAGTACGGATGAGATGCGAGGGAATTGGATCTAGGGAGCAGGTGGTGGGGCGGGAGGACTGGAGCAGAGCAGAAACCTCTTCCAATGTAGCGGGTGCGAATGAACATAGAACAGCAGAGGGAGTGAAGTTAGGGGAAGTATTGTAAGGGGAAGAAGAAAGATCTCTTCTCTGATTGTAGAGATCTTGTCAGTGAAGTGAGTTGCAAAGTCTGAGGCGGTCAAGTTAGTAGGTGAAGGAGGAACAGCAGGGCAAAGAAGAGCGTTAAATGTGTGAAATAGTCGTTTAGGTTCGCGGGAGAGTGTGGTATTGAAGTAATTAACTTTTGCAGAGGAAAGAGCCAAGCTGTATGAGCTCAGCATAAATTTATAGTGGAGAAAGTCAGATGCACAGTGAGACTTTCTCCAACAATGTTCAGCAGTTCTGGAGCATTTTTGGAGGTATCGAGTGAGCTTGGTGTGCCAGGGTTGTTGTTGGGTGCGCCTGCGGCATTTAAATGTACAAGGTGCCATGATGTCTAGTTGAGAGGAGAGGGTGGAATTGTAGAAGGAGGTTGCAGAAATAAGACAGGTGAGGTTTGAGATAGGTTAAAAAGAGAGTTTGGAGATTAGTGGAGAAATGCTCTAAGTCAAGACATTGGAGGTTTCTGTGAGAGTGATGTTCAGACAGTGGTGTCAATTGAGTCTTAGGTATGCCAATGTCAAAAGTCAGCAGATGGTGGTCAGATAGAGGAAAAGGAATATTGGAGAGATTAGAGACAGTACAGAGGTTGGTGAAGGCAAGATCAAGAGTGTTTCCCGCTGTATGGGTTGCTAAATTAGACCATTGCGTAAGGCCAAAGGAGGAGGATACAGAGAGCAGACGAGAGGCATCAGTGCAATTGGGGTTGTTAATTGGGATATTGAAATCCCCAAGTATAAGGGAAGGAGTGCTAGATGAGAGGAAGTGGGGAAGCCAGGAAGAAAAGTGTTCAATGAATAGTCTAGTCTAGGATAACCGGGGCCGGTAGATGATAGCAGTTCTTAAAGGAGTGGGTTTAAATAGGCGGACAGTGTAAACTTGAAAAGGATAGGGCAGGGGGAGTTATGATTGGTTGAAAAGTACATTGAGGGGAGAGAAGGATGCCTACGCCACCTCCTTTACAGTTGAGTGTGAGAGAATTGTAGCCCATCAAAACATAGAGTCAGGAGTAGCGCTATCAGAGGGGGACAGCCAGGTCTCTGTAAATGCAAGCAGTGTGAGTAAGTTTGAGATGAAAGTCGTGTATGGTTCTTGATTTTAAATTACTGCAGATGGAGCGGGCATTCCAGAGTGCACAATGAATGTTGGTAAGTGAGGGTAAAGGGCAGGGTATTGTGATGAGGTTTGTGGGGTTTCTGGTTTTCTTAGTGTGTGTAGAGAAGGTGAAGGGCCCTGGATTGGGAGAGACATCACCAGCTGCTAGAAGTAGGAGGAGAGAAAGTGACAGGAGGTTTGAATGGGTTTTTTATTCATGGGGTCTAGGATGAGATCGATTGTGGGTCGGAGTGAGAGACTAGAAAAATGAGTGTAAGGCATGAGATGAGAGAAGGGTGGAGTGTAGCAGAGAGGGGCATATGTAAATGTGGATGGGGGGGATGAGTGAAGTGGGTGTAAGGAGAGATTTCTATACTGATGGAGACTGAGGAAATAAAGAGGAGAAGAAAACACATCATTGCTAAACTGTGAAAAATAAAAAATTGGAAATAACAAATATCAAGAGCAGGTGAAGGTAGGAAAGATATTATGTTTTATGGGTTAAGAAAGTGCAGGAGTGTACTAATAAGAGGCAGTGTTTTGTTTTTGTTGTTGTTGTTGCTTTTTTAACCTAACTAAAATGTGGGCGTGACAGACAATCTATAAATGTAATGAGCATGGGGTGGGATGGTGTGGGGAGGGTGGGCATCATGCTTGCTCACTGAAGGAATGGGCTTGCAAAGTTGGGGAATCAGGCTGTTGAATAAAGAGATGTGAGGGTCAAAGAGCTTGCAGTAAAGGTAAGGGAGGGGGAAATGTATCTAGGTACAGAGATGAAGAGATGGATATTCAAATAAAAACAAACATATCAATAAGAGAAGGGAGGGGTCAGAGGTCAGTCACAAATCAGAGGGGAAATAGAGGAATGCATATAGGTGAATAAAACAATTACATACAGGGCTAGCAAAACTACACTTTAGCATAACAGACAAGATATAAATACAAGAAAATATACAATGTACACAGGATATATAAAATAAAAATTAAATAAATGTACAGGGTGGTTAAGTTAAAAATAAATGAAGGTGTGCAGGATAGAGTCTTAGTGTGGTCTTCCAGAATACATCCCTACTGAACTAATTTCTCGACTGCATCAATGTGATGGATACTCACTGCAATTATACGAGTCCACAGATGTTGCAGGACCTTCGATTTTGTTGGTTTTTGTTAGATATAATTTTGACAAACAGGTTGAATAACCTGTGGTTACCCTGCACCAGACACTGCTAATCCATTCCACACTGTGACTCCTAACTTCAACATCAGGCATACTGGGTCACGCTCATCCGACCGCCGCCCAGACAGTGTCTGGTTCCCGGTCACCAGACTGCCCTCCTGACTGTGAAACTACGAATGGCTCGTTAAATCTGGTACGAACCCGAACTTTGCAGTTCGGGTTCGCTCAACTCTATTATGGATCCTTTGATCGCTACATCTGTTACTTGGATAACTGGTAATTCTCGAGCTAATACATGCCAACGAGCGCTAGGGGACGGCCGCTCCGCTTTTGCACCCTGCTCCCTCTTATGCTGTGCTGGTGCCTCTGTGCAACCAGCGCCTCTTCCTCCAAACTGCACACGTCACTCGCATGACCTTGATTCCATGTGGGGTCTAGGACCTCATCATCCTCCACATCATCTTCCACCCACTCCTGAACCCTGCCCTCCTTGCCGGTCTGCACACTGCAGAAAGCCACAGCAGTTGGCACGTGTTTTTCCAGCATGTAAACTCTGCAAAGGACATATGGGAATTGTTTTAGAATTGTATCCAGGCAACTATAAACTTACCTCTCAGTTTGACTTGTGAGGGTATTGCCCCCGAATTACAATATTGTTATATTGGTATTTGACGGTTCTATTTGACTGCCAGATATGAACTGCAGGCTGCAAATATACTATTTAGCACCCAAAAAAATTTGAATTTGTCAAACTGTGCTGTAACCGCAGTATTTGACGCCTCTATTTGACTCTCAGATATGAAGTGCATCCCACTAATGTACTATTTAGCAGATTATCACCCAGAAAATAAGAATGTTTACAATTGCACTGTAAGTGCAGTATTTGATGTTTCTATTTGACTCTCAGATATGAAGTGCATTTCACTAATGTACTATTTAGCAGATTAGCAGCAAAACAATAAGAATTTTTACAACTGCGCTGTAACCGCAGTATTTGACGCTTCTATTTGACTCTCAGATATGAAGAGCACGCCCCAAATGTACTACTTAGCAGTTTAGCAGCAAAACAATTAGAATTTTTACAACTGCGCTGTAACCGCATTAGTTGATGCTTCTATTTGACTCTCAGATATGAAATACACCCCACTAACGTACTATTTAGCAGATTAGCAGAAAAACAATTAGAATGTTTACAACTGGGCTGTAACCGCAGTATTTGACGCTTCTATTTGTCTCTGATATGAAGTGCACCCCACTAATGTACTTTTAGCACCCAAAAAATGTTAAAGGACCACTCTAGGCACCCAGACCACTTCACGCATGCGCATTCAGCCGAAGAGGAGGAGAGGAGGAGTAGAGCTCCCTGCCCGGCGCTGGAGAAAGAGGTAAGTTTAACCCCTTCCTCTCCCCAGAGCCTGGTGGGAGGGGATCCCTGAGGGTGGGGGCACCCTCAGGGCACTATAGTGCCAGGAAAACGAGTACTGGCACTATAGTGGTCCTTTAAGTTTTAAAACTCTAATGTAACCGCAGTATTTGACACTTCTATTTGACTCTCAGATATGAAGTGCACACCCCAAATGTACTAGTTTGCAGAATTCTTTCCTAATCTGTCCCTGAAAGTGGCAGCATCCTCTCCCTACACTAATAAGACCTCATGTGCGTGCGGCGCTATGCAACTACCGGTCATATATAGAGCCTGGGTCACATGCTGCACTGGCCAATCACAGCCATGCCATTAGTAGGCATGGCTGTGATGGCTTCTAAGGGCACACGAGTCAAACGCTTTGAAATCGCCGAACACCGAACTCCAACCCGAACATACAGTGATATGTTCGGGTCCGGGGTCCAAAAAACGTAATGTTCGGTACGAACCCGAACTTTACAGTCCGGGTTCGCTCAACTCTACTCTTAGAATAAATCGTCAATTTCATTTATTTCTCCCAAATTCACATTTTAGTAAATAAATAATTTCATTCCTTTTTATTATATCCTGCTCAATTTAGACAAATAAAAGTCTTCTATGTCTGTCTTAAAACTGTTTTTTTTTTTTTCTCCCAAAAAATGAATAGGTGTAAAAGTATCTTTTTCGATGTCTAGTTTGAACTAGAAACTTATCCTACTTGGCATTTCATTTAGCAAACAATAATGCTGATATTAAGTGAAACTAGACAAAGACCTAATGCCATTTTCTTTTTATCACTGAGTTAGCATTTAACAATCAATGCTTATGACTTTTTATTGTACTACATCACAAATTGTTTGAGAAGTACTAAAGTATTTTATCTGGATTAAAATGCATCTTGAAAGTCTGCTTGTAGATATAATCTTCATGTTTTTAGAATAGATTCATTCTAATCCCATACTCTTTAAACAGGAACATCTAATCGAAAATGAGGTTTCGATACTGCGCCAAGTTAAACATCCCAATATCATTATGCTTATAGAAGAGATGGACACCACAACAGAGCTTTTTCTGGTGATGGAATTAGTAAAGGTAAGAGGATTGTTCCAATTGTCTTTAATCATGTATGTACATTCTGTAGACACTATAATAAGATTACAGGATTCTAAACTGTATGCAATAATTGCTTTTGAGAACCGTTATCAAAAACACGACCTTCTGACTGAACATCTCCTCTGAAGGGTGAAAAGGGCACTCAAATTATTCATGCCATTGTGGGGCTTTCCCTCATTTTAATAGTGTTTTAATGATTTAGTATTTTAGAATTAGCAATACTTTTCTTCACATAAAATAAAACTGCTGTTTTGAATGTTAAGTTTTTAAATTTCTCAAAAATCTTTCAGCTTTTCTTCTTACATTTTATGGTGTCTGGCAATACAGTCATTTCCTTATCCTTGTAAATTTGAGTTGCGTCTGTAATTAAATATTGGATAGCAGGGTCTAAAATTACTAGGGCCTCAACCTTTTAACCATTTGTGGTTTGTTTAACTTTTATATGCTTTGCATGACTGGGGTGCTCTAGTTCTAACCCTTGATTTACTGTTAAACCGTTTACTTTTAGTTTAACAGTGAGCTAGGTTCCCTGGCCTCCCTTCCACTTCTGTCTTGGCTAACACTTCCTTATTAACTTGAGCGGTGAGGGGATGCAATGATAAGTTGAGTATCAGTGATCTCAGCCTATTACAAGTGTGCACTGTTCATACAGCCATAGCAAACTTTACAAGCAATAGGTGTCAATGATGGGTTGAAAGAGCTCATGAGATGCTCTCAGCCTATCTTTGGGCTCCTATCACTGTTCAGGCAACAAGGAAGTGTTGGCCAGAGCAGATAAAGTGGTGCACTGGACTTTAGTTTACAGCAGTGTTCATTTTTGCGACTAACAATTTTAGAATAATTAGTCGACTTACAATTTTGGAGATTTAGTTGACTAAAGCTAAAACAATTTAGATGACTAAAATACAACTGAAACTAAAATGGCTTTTTAGTCAAAAGACTATGACTAAAACTAAATAGAATTTTGAAGCCAAAATAAACACGGATTCACAGTAAACACAAAGTAAATAATTTACCAAGATAAAGTGGTTATGATGCAGAGTTCCTGTAATGTCTCCAAATGGGCTGGAAATGGCAAACACCCTTCTCAAACAGCAAATGAATCTTGAAGGATCATACTATTTCTACATTTATTGGGGAGGGGGTAGTGAGTGAGTGAATGCATTTGCCTATTTGTACTACATTAGAGATTGTTATAAAACATATATTTAATAATTTTGAATATTGAAAAAGTTATTTTAGAAATACGGATACAAACTAAGTTGAAACATACATAGTCAATCAAGTTTGGCATAAAAACATGTTTGATTAATGGCCAATCATGTCACAAAAAAGGAGTCAAATGTTTCTTTACTCCATAATGGCAATCAGATTAATTCATGGATCAACAACCTGTTCACCTACATATTAATTATATCCTTAAATATTCTGTTTTTATTTTTCTTTAAAAATCTATGCCTTTTTTTAATATAAAAATAATTGTATAAAACAACATCTTTCAGTAGAAAGTTCTATATCTGTATGTTTAAACTATAAAGAACCCTTTTTCCTCTGCTCCAACTTTTTTTTCCTAGTCTAAATGAAAACCTCATTCCTGCTGAACAGTATAGCACATACTAACCCTGATTTGTGCTGACCCTGTATATATTTGTATCAAATCCATTCTGACACGCTTTTTTTCTGTATAAAGTATCACAGAATAGGACATTGTATACTGTCTAAATAAATAAAATGGTGTAAATGTATTTAATAATTTTTACGTTTGACAAGCATACTATTAACAAAACAGCTTTGTGTTTGTATGTTTTCATACATATTTTTTATCTTCGAAAAAAAAATTGGTTGGTAATGAAGAGTTTATGTTCCCCCTAACAGCCTGAAAATGTACATGGTTCCAGTGATAATGCTCAAGTACATATTGTTAATTGGATAGGAGCTATGAGTAATATATTAAAATGATCACAGGGATGTTTTCTTTGCGATTACAAAACATATCAAGTACTACATCATAGCTTTGTTGCATGTGGTCAGTTATGCATTTACAGCTGTGAGATCAACTGAATTTGCCACAGGTGTATTCCAATCAAAGTGTAGAAAATGATCCAGAGAAATGATATCCACCTAGCTAAATTTCGAGTGTCATAGCAAGGGGTCTAAGTTCTTCTGCCAATGTGATATTTTAGTTTATTAGGTTAAATAATATATTCTTATATATTAAATAAATTTGCAAAGTTTTCAGAAATCTAGATTTTGCTTTGTAATTATGGGGTATTGAGTGTAGATTGATGTGTGAAAAAATAAACATTTGTGGCAAAAGATACAACAAATACGAAAGATAGGATAAGCAGTAGGAAATCCATTAATATAAACCGTGAAATAAGCTGCAAACTGATTGTAAGGAATACCCCCAACATCTTACAGAGTAAAACCAAAAAACAGGTAAAAATGTAAATGGTAATTTACTCACATTTACTAGAGCAGTAACACTGCTCAAGAGATAGCACTTGGGTGGTATGATCACCACCAAGGATATAATGTTGAGTAGATTCTCCTGAAGGCAATCCTTGCCAGAGATTGGATGTAGAGTAGATACTTCAGGAGTTTTAAATGTGCTAAAAAAATGAAAATAATAAATGGTCTTGCACTATAAAATAGGTGTAAGCCGGCGGAGCCAAGCAATAGAACGGAGCGGTCGCACCTAAGCCGAGCTCTGCAATACTAGGCCTCTTTTTTGGTGCTATAAACAAGTTACCCCAAACAAATCGGTGCCAACTGGACACTAAACCAGCATACACCGTAATGGGCCGAAAAACAAAAAAAACAGAAGGCGGACAAGCCTAGAATGGGCATGAACATTGGGGACCTGTGGCGGCAAGCACATGAGACCTCACAACCTAAGATGGCGTCCTACCTCGAAGAAAGCTCAGACTTCTCGGATGACCAAACTCTGGAGATGGCGGAGTTCCTCATACCAGCACCACAGGTGCCAAGACAGACGCCAGCACCAACCTCGCCAAAGAGGGACTCGCAGCCTGTGACCAAGGCTGATATGCAAGACCTTCTAGCAGACCTCCGGCGGGACATTCACGCAGATGTTACAGCACTCCGCAACGACCTCAAAGGCCTGACAGGCGCATGGGGGCCCTGGAGACTGAATCCCGCAGCACCAAACGAGAGGTTATGCACCTGCAACAAGAGATGCAGACCCTCAGAAATCAACAGACCACCCTTGAACAGAAACTCACAATAATGGAAGACTCCAGACGACTCAAAAATCTCAAGGTTAGAGGGGTGGCGGAGGCAATCCCTGACGCCGAATTACCGCACTTTATTAGACGCCTCCTGGGCACAATCCTGCCTCCCAGACAGGCGAAAGTGATAATGATAGAAAGCACGTTCCGGATCCCCAGACCCGCCAAAGCCCCGGCCACTGCTCCCAGGGACCTGATTGTGCGTTTCCAGGCCAGGCAGGACAAGGCTGCAGTGATGGGCACCCTCCCGGGACAATCCCCATACAACTTTGAGAACTCTTCGCTTACCTTCTTTGCCGACCTCACGGGGAGCACACTAGCATGGCGAAAGTCCTTGCAGCCCTTCACGACACTGCTCCGGACGCACAACATCCCCTACAGATGGAAGACAACACACACGCTGGCAATCTCCCACGGCGGAACCATTTACCCAGTTCACGATTTGGAAGGAGCAACAGCGATCCTGGAGAGCCTGGGCCTGCCACCGAACTCATTAACCAACACCTCAAAAGCAACGGTGACCACATCGCAAGGCTGGGACCCGGCGAACACAGCCCCCTTCATACCCAGGAGGCCACCTGCGGACATCCACGCAGAAGCCACGACCTGATCTCTCCCAGTCAGCCACACCACACGCTGGCAGATAAGACTTTGCGCATAGAGGACTAGAGGACTAATCTTGCTTTCTAATTAAGTTTATCACTGCTTTAACCATGCCCTGTACTGTTCTTCCCTTAGCTCTGCTATATTTGCATTGTTTGTTTTTACATCCACTAGGGCCCCGCACAAGTTCCCGGAGAACGGTAACATAACCAGGGGGTACGGGCCATATACGTCCCCCCTTGCCCCCAATAAGCTCCCCAGCCACCGCGCCAACACCATTAGAAGCTACTTGGATCCCCCCCACTCAACCCGGATCACATAGGCCACCCCGACAACCCTGCATAAACCTCCCCAGGGCCTTATCTGGAGACTTTCCATACCACAAAGTCTTACATGTATATCACTCATGACTCCTACATAAGATAGTGCGCGCAGCTTGGCGTACATGCCATTACTATACAGACTAGGGTTAAACTTTGACTAAATGCCGCCGTAGTGGCACAGTGAGAGGGCTCATGACTAGCACTTATCCTTCTAATCAGTGGGATAGCGATATGTCCTATCCTTTTAAAGTGCTGTGCTCCTAGACAGCCTGATACTGGCCACCTCCATGCCAACTAGTTTGTGAGGCTGACGACCTGCTACTTGTACTATGTATTCTCTTATGAGCATATCTAGCCTAACATAGCCATTACCAACGATAATCTATTAAGGTATCATAGCTCATTCACTACATGCCTTGGTACGCTTATTACTTATTACAATTTACTGAAGTATCATAATTTGATAACCTCATGTTCCAGCATATTGTTACTCGCTACGGATGTCATATAGTTTGTTAATCTCACATTATATATATAAAACTGTGCTGTCTGATCTGCCACAATTTCAAATGCTAATGCTATGCCTGCAACGGCTGTTGTGGCCTTGCACGTTTATTGTTATTCCAAGCACAAATAAAATAAAGAATTTAAAAAAAAAAAAAAATAGGTGTAAGGCAAATAAACTTTAATGCTTAAAAAACATTTTATTTTTTTAATTCTTTATTTTTGATTGATAAAACAAAATGACAAGATAAGTTGACCGAGCTTGAGCACAAGACGCATTATAATTCGGGAAATAGTAATACCGTGAAGGTGAGGCACATAAGACAATGCAAGTACAGAAATAACATAATACACTTGGTATACAAAACTGTTTGGTAGAGTAGGTCATCATATGCGTGATGTCAATTTTTGTATTTTAAACTGCATATTATTATGGTTGCAGATTGTATTCGGAGTATTGGGTACATGGTGGCAACCGGCGTTATGAACCTGGTACATCTTTAGAACTTTACGGTGGATATGGGATAATTAAGGATTTTTTGGCAATGCCTTGGGTCGGCTGTTTGGAATCATGTTCTAATAGGGACCTCTGTATCTGAACTAGGTGTGATGTGCAGTCGTTATAGTACAGAGCATTACTGTATCCCAGGACCCGAGACTGATTCACCTTAGGTTCACAGGAAGCCAGTATGTCCCCTAGCACCTGGTCTGCAGTAGGGCGCCCATTGTGAGCGTCCGTGTGCTATCTATGCCTGTGGACGCTATATGTGTATAAAGAGGGTCCTTGTAGGAAGGTAGGACCGGAATAAGGGAGAGGAGGAGGAGAAAAGTATAGTAAAAGGAGGTGGAGAAGAAGAAGAGAGTGGGCCGAGCAGCGGGGGGACAAGGAGAGGGGGAGGGAGAGCACGACAACAAGCTCCCATCCCAAGGCACACGGCCATGGGTGATAAGTCAACCCGTCTAAAGTTCTAAATTTCTACATCCCATCAGGTCTGTTAGTCTGCCAGGGGGCATTCCCTCCATAATCCCCAAGTCCTCTCAAATTTCTTGTGGGTGCCTTGTATCCTAGATGTGAGGTAGCCATTAGGTGGCTATCCTTTATTTCCCCAATCACTGCCGATCTAGGGGAGGGCTGTATATTTAGCCAATGTTGTGCTATAGCCAATGTAATTTTTTGGAGCAGTTTTTGGCCATGTCTAGGCCAGTCCTCGATTGATCTGTTTAAGAGCTATATCCAGGGGTCGAGGGCAGTTTGGAAGACCTGCCCCAATATTTCTCTGATCCCCCTCCCAGAAGATTTTGATTTTGGGGCACTCCCACTAAATATGTATATATGTGCCTCTAATGCCACAATTCCTCCAGCAGTGGTCCAATGGTGTCTTTTTTGCATACAATAAAGCTGTACTGAGGTGGTGTACCATCGGAATAGGGGTTTAAAAGACTGTTTAAAACTATTTTAACATCGAACATCTTTGCATATCTCTTTTGATATATATCATGTCACCTGCCTTATGTAACATCTTGAATATGTACTTACACTGTGCACCAACAAAAATTTCTTTTTAAAAATATACTATTTTAAAACAGTCAATGCATTTCGCCAAACAAGGGGATTCAAGTATACATGTATTATATAATTTAATTGTAGCAAAAGACTGCAACAAAAAAATTTAAAAATTTAAGGGGTCTGAATTCTTAGTGTGCACTTTATATACAATCTATGCAAAACTGTTTGAAATGTGACAACTATATTAAAAATAATAAATTGGAACGCTACATGATTGTTATTGTAATGATATCCTGAAGAATGCATTCTAATTTAAACATCCACACTCCTACAAAATTAGTAATTAATTCTGATAATTTGACTAACACTGTTGCTTTAGTATTGATGAAATTCTACGAAAAGATTGTGGCGCAAACACTGGGAACATTGGTTTCCGAGGTGACTGCTTAACATTTAGTTCTTTGTTTCAGAATTGATTTTATATTTATCTTTTTGCATAACCCCTGCCATTCTGCCAGTTTATGAATACACTATGGAATGGATTCCATAGTGTATTCAAAATCTAATTGAAACCTATAGAGTAAAATAGTCAAGCTGTGACTATATCGGACTTGTAGAATTTTTCCAGATTTGCAATTTTTAGCCTATATTTTGCGATTTGAATTTTTAAATCACTACAGTTGTGAAGTTTGATAAATGACGTTGAAATATTCTTGTGGATGGATCTGTAAATCATCATATATTAACTCCCTTCAAAACTATCTATTTATCTTTAGGGTGGAGACTTGTTTGATGCAATCACATCTTCAACCAAGTATACAGAACGAGATGCTAGCGCAATGGTGTACAATTTGGCAAGTGCTATGAAATATCTTCATAGCCTCTACATTGTCCACCGGGACATCAAGCCTGAGAACCTTCTGGTAAGTGACAATGAAGTGTGACACTAATGTATATTGTGCTGCAAAAACTAAAAGTGGCACGGAGCTGTGATTGATGTGTTTAAACTAGAAATCTGTTTGTATTGTTTTATTGCTTTATCATGTTACATGTTTTTAACTTTCTAAAAGATGGCTTTCTAAAAGATTAAGAGACCTACTCATAATGTTCTAAAAGCTGGAAGGAACACATTGTACATTTGTCAAACATATTTCCTCAAATTAAAAAAAGAAAAAGTTTTGACTATATTAGAAATTCACTCTAATCATAATATTTATATATTGGGGGGGATTGGAACAGTGTTTTTTAATTTTTATTTATTTTAAATAGCTTACATTATCTTGGTGATTCTTCAATTATTAAATTAACTTAGTAACCCACTCTTTGAGAGTGATATAATTTGGATGAAAATCATTTTTGCAAAGCACATTTATCAGACTCTTCCCAGTGTCAGACGGTTGCCACTAGAGAACTTTATCGGACTGTGGCTGGTGCTCCCAACTATGAATAATGTCCAAAGTTGGCATGCTAATGTAGGAGTATGAACTTCTGCTTTAGCATATCTATGGTGCTTGGAGTGTTCGTTTAACTGAAAACAAAACTGCTTTGTTACACAATGGTCATATTTCTAACTTAATGTATGGAGATCTTACATGCTGTTGACTGTATAATGGCCATTAACGCTTCTACCCTATACTTTTTATAATTATTTCTCCCAATATTTAAAATTAACAAAGAGACACTTTTAGGAAGGTGCGGCAATATAAAAAGCTAAAGTTATCATAGCAGAAGCACTACTGAAGATGAGATCATGAGAGACATAGCTAAGAGAGGACTAGGAAGATAGACATAGTAAAAGAGCTGGAGCATTATACAGAGACCTGTACTGTGTGGGGATCTCTGTATTGCGTCTCTGTGTACTCCATAACAATGATCCAGGTTCTGAGTATCTCCTTACTGTGCCCAGCTCTGTGTGTTATTTCTCTGTATCTTAGCTCTACCTGTTGTTTGGGTATCTCTGTAGTCTGCCCAGCTTTGTGTGTTTTATAGGTATCTTTATGTTGTGCCCAGCTCTGTGTATTGTATATCTATTTTTTTTTCCCTCAACTCTGTTTGTGGTATAGTTATCTCTGTATTGTACTCGGCTTCATTTAAGACACATTAGTGGGAGTATATTGCTGAGTTTTGTTAAATACTCAGACATTCAAACAATATATACATCCAAAAAAAGAGGAACTTTAGGATAGAAAAGTGGGACACGGGGATTTGGGCCCAGAATAGAGACTGTTCCTCATTTTAAGGGACACTTGGGTGATAAGCATAGCAGCTTGAAGGAAGATGGGTCAACAAGTAATGGTGTTTATCCCAGAAAACCAGATGTACACATGTACCTAATCCAGAATAAAAGTTCCTATACATCTACACCTGGGATCAGAAGTAAGTATTGATTTAGGATCCAAAGAGGTAACATTGTACCAATAGTTGTTCACATGAAGCATGTTAAGTAGACATTGGGTTTCATCCATGTAGATAAATTGACTGGATTATTTAGAAATTCTGAAAGTTAATCTTCTCACATGACAAACCAACCACTTTCACCACATATGGTACCTTTTCCCCTTATCCTTCTAGCCAAAGTCTGAAGGGATGGTCCTAACAGGATACAATTTAACAGGTGTTGGCTATCACCCTATTAGTATTTTGTATGATGTTCTCGGATAAATGGAAATTTTGGATGTGACCTCCCAGGTGTCTTCCATTCCTCTCTATCCAGGGAGGACATGTAATATTGTTTCCAAAGGTAAACATATGGTAAATATATTTCCCTAGGACCTGAAAAGATGCTAGTACATAGTTGTGTAATAAACACCTTTTCATAATTTCCCTGAAGGCATAAGGTGTCAAACTATGTTCTGTTAGTACATACTGCCCATGCCATCTCTGCTTTCCCAGCTGGAGGTACCTGAAGTGGTCTCCTATGGTCATGTGTCCCCTTGTACCTCATCCTTCTTGTAAAAGTCCTGAAACCTCTGGATAACAACCTCATCTACGTCAACATCTCCAGTGAATTTATGTTTAAGGTGCATTTTTTTTTTGGTCCCTCCCACCATAATTTGGCTCATTCTGGACAGTATATGTAATGGCCTCTCCAGTTAGATTTTATTTTTTTTGTTTATTTTAGTAAAATCTTTGTCAACTCACCACAACTCAGTTGTAGAGATAGACAAATAAATAATTGACATCCCTAGGAATTTAATTGTAATGAATTAAATGTACATGTCTTTTGTCCAAGTAATTTTTGCACAGTAGTGGCACTTGGCCTCCTATGCTTATGTCAATGAAAAAGCCTCCATAATGTCTCTATATATTAATTGCAATACATATGCAGATACAAATCAATATAGTCCAATAGACGTTTTGCAGTCTTCTACTCTGTGCCCAACATGCACAGAAGCTTGCGTGACTAGCACCTGACAGGAACGTTTGATGGGCATTTGGCTAAATGGAAAATGCCTGAACTAAATTGACAGTTTGTAAGAAGATAACTAGTGTTGGTTTTAAATAGGCGCAAATCCTGTTTTAGAAAAAGCCTAAATGGATTATTTAAAACGTAAGCTTGGCATTATACCCACTGATTAGCATTTTGGGGGATATAATAAGGATTTTGTGAGCATCATTTTAATGATGCTAAGCTGAATGTAGAGGCGATCTCCAGAGTTAGCCTTCTTAGGAGAATCTTCTAATCCTGTCTCGTGAGCAAATTAAAATGCTACATTGAACTGGTTAATCCATTGTGGGCTATCTACCCGCATTCCCATACGCATGCAACTATTTTGTTTTCTAATCTACTGTAAAAGCTTTTATATAATGTGCTGACCTGATTAATTTGAAAGGCATTTGTTTTAACAATAAGAAAACCTCTTCTTAGCAACACATTTCAATCATCGTAACAAAATGATTTACACCTCATATTAAATGTTTGTTTATTGCACATTATTTTTATTATTATTGTTTTTAGGTTTGTGAATATCCTGATAAAACTAAATCTCTAAAGCTTGGTGATTTTGGATTGGCTACTATAGTTGATGGTCCATTGTACACTGTCTGTGGTACGCCAACCTATGTTGCTCCGGAGATCATTGCTGAAACTGGGTAAGAGCTGTCTTTCACTTCTGGGCTATTCTAAAGTGGTGTAATAAGTCTCTTTTCAAACCAAACAAAATATGTTAATTAAATATGCTTTAAAATTACTGATGGGGGAAAAAAATGTTTAAATACAACTCCAGATCTGTAATATTGGGACTTCGCCCTTGTTTATTCCTGGCTATTTTTCCCATACAAAATTGAGAGAAAAATGAATAATTTGAATCAATTATACATTGAATTAGATTAATGGTATATAATTGTGCATTCTTAAAAATTTATGAGGTGCTTTCACTTTTTAAATGATGCCTGAGAAAAGCTTATTCTTTCTCAAAATCTTCAGATACGATAGTGTACACATAAATAGGGCAGAGGATTTACAATTGTCATGGGCTAGCTATGCGAAGTGCATATGTAATTAAGGCAGCTAAGAACTCTGTTCCAGACTGCCTAATGTTCTAACTTTATAAAAGGGAGACCAAATTAATAATGACCAGTAGGGCATTGTAACTTTAAATTTAGGATATGATTTTAAAAAATAAAAGGTGTTTTAGTCAGCGGTGTATCCTGGTTTTGTGCTGCCCTAGGCAAGCCAAAACTCAGGCGTCCCCGCGCGCGCCACCCCCACCCACCCCCCAAATTCTAAATACACACACACATTCACTAACAGACACACATTCACTAACAGACTCGCTAACAGACAGACACTCGCTAACAGACAGACACACTCACTTTTTTTTTATTTAACCCCCAGCCTCCTTACCTTTTAGGAATGCTGGGGGGGGGGGGTGGGTTCTCCCTCTCCCTGGGGCTGGTGAGGGAGCACTTCCCCCTGAGCTCTCTGCTCCGCTCCCTCGCGCGCTGCAGAGTGATGCCGGGAGCCGGAATATGACGTCAAGGCTAACAAGACATTTGCCCTGGGCATTTGGGGGTGGCCTTTTTTGCCTCCCCCTGGAAAATGCCGCCCAAGGCAAATGCCTTGTTTGCCTCGCAGCTAAAACGTCCCTGATTGTAGTAACAAATAAAAGATCATTTCTGCTTTCCAGGGCAGTGGTTCTTACATACAGAGATTTACATATGTGATTGAATTCTAATGTTCTAATATCTACTTTAAATAGAAAAAGTGAAAGACCTGTTTTGCTTTTATTTATTTTTTTATTTTAATTTTTAGGTATGGTCTAAAGGTTGACATATGGGCAGCTGGAGTGATCACGTATATTCTCCTTTGCGGTTTCCCACCTTTTCGCAGGTAAAATCTCAAGATTAAGTGTTAATTTTCTATACACTTCATGCACGCTGTCATAGATTATAAATAAATTGTTTGTAGAAACATGTTAGAGAAAAATACACTTCTCAATGAGCATGGCAAGACATATTCTCCTTGAACATTACCACATTGTGTTGTGTTATAATCTGAAATAGATTATTTGGTGGGGGGTGCAGGGGGGGTGCTACCATTTGATTTATACAATGCACCAAACAAACTATTCCCAAAGCTGTAGCGTCCTGCTACCTATCTAGGTGTCTCTCCCCCGCCATGTGAGGGTATGAAAAGTATTACTTGGCTTTTAGCCCATGCTGTGCTGCCCTTCTCTCTGCTGTTATGAGATGAAGTGGTGTTTTCAGTGTCACTTTAATCAGTATTGTGAAACAGATAATTTTTGTTTGTTCTCAAAGCATGAAGAAGTGATGGGTTTTATGTAAAGAAGTGTTAGATTTTAGATGGATACTCCGTTAAATAAAAATGATGCTCTTTGCAATTGTCAAAACAGTCCGTTGCTATAATCACTAGAATGTTAGGGCTTGTACTTTATTTACAGGGACACTATAGTCACCAAAACAACTTCAGCTTAATGAAGCAGTTTTGGTGTATAGGTCATGTCCCTGCATTCTCACTGCTCAATGCTCTGCCATTTTAGGAATTAAATCACTTTGTTTATGAACCCTAGTCACACCTCCCAGCATGTGACTTACACAGCCTTCCATAAACACTTCCTGTAAAGAGTCATCTAATGTTTATCCTTCCTTTTATTGCAAGTTCTGTTTATTTAGATCGTCTTATCCAATGCTATGTTAATAGCTTGCTAGACCCTGCAAGAGCCTCCTGTATGTGATTAAAGTTCAATTTACAGAGAAAGAGATACAATTGTTTAAGGTAAATTACATCTGATTGAAAGTGAAACCAGTGTGTTGTTTTTTTCATGCAGGCTCTGTCAATCAGAATCAGGGGAGGTGTGACAAGGGCTGCATAAACAAAAACAAAGTGATTTAACTCCTAAATGGCAGCGAATTGAGCAGTGAAACCTGAGAATCACGATCTATACACTAAAACTGCTTCATTAAGCTAAAGTTGTTTAGGTGACTATAGTGTTTCTTTAACCCCAAAATAACAATCATCATTAAATCCTGGTCCCCAGAGTCCTTATGCCAGCATGGAGCATCGTGCTGTAATATTTTTGTGCCAAAGTATATATCCTACTCGGTGAATGATGGAACAATGTATAGAGATGGTAATGATTAAATAGTAATGACAGCACAGCGTAGACTGGCATTGGCCCCTTAGAGGGTTAAGCTGGGACAGAAACGTATTTTAAAGCACACAAATGATTTTCTCTAAAGACCTATTCTGTGCCAAACTGTTATCTCCATGCAAACCACAAATGTACACTATTAAGAAAGAGAGTAAATATACTGACCATTTACAAATGGGCAGCAGTAATCTACAATGTCAGCCAGAGCAAACACTTTATAGAGATTGCTTTCCTGATTTGAAACAAACTCAAGTAACTTTTATAATTTCCTGCAACACAGGATTGTGGTTTGGATCATGCTTTTAATGCTTGTGATTATTACTAATGATTACTATTCTGTTACTTTACCAAGTAGAACCCGCGTGACTATTCTATTACCATGTGCTTCTTTCAAAGTGAGAATAATCTGCAGGAAGACTTGTTTGATCAAATTTTGATTGGAAAGCTGGAATTTCCCACCCCATACTGGGACAACATCACCGACTCTGCCAAGGTTTGACTTTGGAAAGCTATATATGTGTTCATGGAGAGAGAGACGCTGTACAGTACATATGTAACTTAAAGAAGCAGAGCTCTATGATTTGTTTTGTCAGTTCCTTTTTGACATAAAACCACTTCCCAGTTCTATATCTTCAGTGGTAGAGTGAGAGATATGTCCAGAGGGGTAGTCCCTGATCTAACCCACGCAGGGCCAGACTGGGGACACGTAGCAGCCCTGGAAAAAAAATCTATGGCAGCCCCATAAGTCATTGTGCTATGTAGTGTGTGTTTTATTTATTTATTTATTTATTTATATATATATATATTTTTTTTTATTTTTTTTTTATTATTAATTATTGGAATACTTATTTTTCAATTCAAAATTATTAGTCCTTTTAGGGTAATTAAATTATACAGTAAAGCATACTCACATACAGACACAGATAATCTTACTGATGCACACAAATAGGCTCATTGACATATCTCAATGACACAAACAAGGTTACTGGTACACACAAATTTAGTACAGACAAACTCTGATACACACACAAGCTTACTACAGACAAACTCACTGCACACACATGCTCACCACAGACAGAAGCAGACACACCCATGCTCTCTACAGACAAACTCACTAACACACACAAGATCCCTACAGACAAGCTCACTGACACACATACAAGCTCACTCACTAGCAGGCACACACACAGAAGCTCACTCACTAGCAGATGCGCGCACACAAACACAGAAGCTCACTCGCAAATGCACACACACAAAGACATCCACACACACAGAGACAGCCAGACAGCCACACACTCACACACAGGCAGACAGTCATACATATACACACAGGCAGACCGTGTGACACACACAGAGGCAGACAGTCACACACACACAGAGGCAGACAGTCACACACACACAGAGGCAGACAGTCACACACACACACAGAGGCAGACAGTCATACATATACACACACAGACAGTGTCATACGCACGCAGGCAGACAGTCACACATACGCACGCAGGCAGACAGTCACACATACGCACGCAGGCAGACAGTCGCACATACGCACGCACGCAGACAGTCGCACGCACGCAGACAGTCGCACGCACGCAGACAGTCGCACGCAGGCAGACAGTCAGTCACACATACGCACGCACGCAGGCAGACAGTCACACATACGCACGCACGCAGTCACACATACGCACGCACGCAGACAGTCACACATACGCACGCACGCAGTCACACATACGCGACGCGACGCACACATACAGCTCCACGCTAATGCGACGCATTGTCACACATACAGACGCAGGCAGACAGTCACATACACACGCAGCAGACAGTACGCGACGCAGGCAGACAGTCACACATATACGCTCACACATACGACGCGACGCAGGCAGACAGTCACACATAATGACGCACGCAGGCAGACAGTCACACATACGACACGCAGACAGTCACACATACGCGACGCGACGCAGGCAGACAGTCACATACGCACCACGCCAGGCAGACAGTCACACATACGACGCACGCAGGCAGACAGTCATACGCACGCGACGCAGGCAGATTAGTCACACATACGCGACGCGACGCTAGTCACGAAAGTCACACACGCAGGCAGACAGTCACACATACGCATCGCAGCAGTCACACATACGCACGCAGGCAGACAGTCACACATACCACGCAGGCAGACAGGTCACACATACGCACGCAGGCAGACAGTCACACATACGCACGCAGGCAGACAGTCACACATACGCACGCACGCAGGCAGACAGTCACACATACGCACGCAGGCACAGTCACACATACGCACGCAGGCAGACAGTCACACATACACAGACAGTGACAGACACACGCAGACAGTGTCACAGACACACAGAGGCAGACAGTGTCACAGACACACAGAGGCAGACAGTGTCACAGACACACAGAGGCAGACAGTGTCACAGACACACAGAGGCAGACAGTGTCACACACACACACAGAGGCAGACAGTGTCACACACACACACAGAGGCAGACAGTGTCACACACACACACAGACACACTGACCTGCTTCTTACTTTCACATCCCTTGGAGCTCCTGGAGGCTGGTTGTTGGGGAAGCAGGGACTCCTTCCTGCTTCCCATGCTGCATTAACCAGGCCCCCCGCCGCACGCTAAGCTCCGCCCCACCGCAATTTTTTTTTTTTTTTTTAATGATCCCGGCCGGCCATGTGTGAGCTGTGCCGGCCACCTGGCTCCCCCTGCTCCCATGGGGCCCTGTGCAGCCGCACAGCTCACACATTGCCGTCCGGGATCACAGGAGCCTGAGCAATAGGGCTGTCAGCCCAGCCCCAGGTGCCGCGGCCCACTGGGAAATTTCCCGGTATCCCGGTGGGCCAGTCCGGCCCTGAACCCACGTGAAAAGTTATTTTTGTCTCCTATTTACATAGGTTAATTCCCTAATCTCTGGTGAGGACTGAGGAAACTTGCATAACATCAGATGCTTGGAGTCTGTACCAGCATGTTCCTCTGTTTGTATATGTACATTGTTCGTGTCTTCACCCAGTTACTACTGCACGTGCAAACCTTACATGTTCGCCAACTGATGCACAAGCATCACTGTGTTAAATATATTTATTAATGCAATATAGAACAGTGGTTGTTGTGTAATGTCAGGGGGAGGGAATGGATTGTTGCTGATTTGATACAATTGCCTCTGACATTTTTAATTGGAGAAGCAGAGTTTGTGTATTGAGACATTCCCTGATGACCTTAAACAAATAGTTTTATTTTACTGTGCCTTGAGGTCACAAATGTTAAAGGTGAAACAAAAAGGAGCAGATTGAACCTGATGTGGTGAAGCATATTGGACTTTATTATTTTTTATTTTTTTTTAAGATATGTATGATTTGTGTTTACTTTCCATAAAACTAAAATACCTGATCTGTAGACTCAATGGTTTGCATTATCTGAAGTTAGCCTAGTGATATGATCTGACGTCTCTGACCTAAGGCAAACTGAGTCTTTGTGTGTGTAAGGCCAGAGGACACAAATATGGAAAAGGGCCAGCGGCTTGTCATTAACAATTACTTAACAAGCCTTTGGATTTCAGCATTATATCATACTATTGTGGGGGGGCGGGGGTTTGTGTGTATGTAAATAACAAATATGAGGTACATGGAAAACCCATGAGATAAATAAGAAGAGGCATTAAGTGATTCTTTAACGCAGTTTTGTAATAACTGCATTTGTAATGGTTTATTGCAGATTCTTTTCTTTATAATATGCTGTAATAGCCACAAAACACCAGGGAGATATATAAAGTATTTTTGTATGGGTCACTTTAAGTTGTTGAAGGAAACTAAACTGGTAGGGACAATTGACCTTGCCTGTTAGTCAAAATAATTGAGTGTTTTCTAAAGCTGTGCAAAATGTATAGCCTAAAAACTGTAATAATGGTCTCTTGATTTTACACTGTATTTTAAATAATTTTCAACACCTTGGTTTGCTCTGTGAATAATTTGTCAATAATAAATAGCATGATACTTGGGTTACCAATATAGTATGCCAGGATGTTATGTTTCAAAAAGCAGGCTAGGCAAACCGTTAGTTCTACATGAACACTGGTGATGTTTATGATTTAGCCTGCACCTCCAGTTCCCATTGGCTATATGGTGAGCAAAAAAAGTATGCTCTTGCATTTTCCCATTCACTATGTCTATCGGATAACAGAACAGGATCCATGTTGGAAGTTAGGTGCCCAATGTGTGAGTCAATGTAATATAGGTTGTAGAAATACTGGCATTTTATAACTCTATGGTTAGAGTGGAAAGTCTCTTGAAATTTTCTAATTTTATTTTTCCTTTTATAGGAGCTGATTGGATGCATGTTGCAGGTAAATGTCGAGGATCGATTCACGGCAGAACAAATTTTATGTCATCCTTGGGTGTCTGTAAGTATAACATTGTTACTATGTGTAAATTCAAATACCATAATGCACTATGGGTGACAATTTAGGCATTAATCTCTATTATTATTGGACAAGCCTTGGTTTGGTGAGTATCACACTCTCAGGCCACAGTTACTATGTGAATCTGCTGCCATTTTGACCCCATCCCTCCTCTGGTAATATTGCGAGAGGGATGGTTTGTAGGCAAAAATAGCAGAATTCTTTCTTCTGAGCTCTTCTGTGGGCAAATCTATCAGGAGAAAAGATAAATAATGCAACAGCTCTCAAACCCATGCATGTAGCCAGTGCTGCCCTAAGATTAAAGGAACCAAGGCCCTAATGCTACAAATGTTGACATTTTGATGTGCAATGTAAAACTTGTATTGTTTTATGCACTAGTTATAATATGGGTTATAATATTTCAAAATATTTTAACACAGGATGATGTATCTATGGGAAATAACATGCAAGTAGAAGTCACTGGTAAATTAAAACAGCATTTTAACTCTCAGCCTAAAGAGACCAACACTACAGCCGCGGTGTCTGTAATCATGGTAAGTTTGGCTATAACTTTTATGTTTTCATTGCACAGTATGTTTGGTTTTATGGGGCTGCTAATCTTACTTTTTCTTAGGGGGGGCATTTAATGCAACATAACCACTACAAAACATTACAGTGGCTATGTTTCATTGGGTCTCTTGCTGCCACCCCCTTTCCCTGCCGAAGGAAACCTGTTTTGTCCAACCTGGATATCAGTGGTAAGCTCTGCCAATTGTTGCTGTCCAGGTTGGATGAAATTGACATTGTTATTGAAGAAGTGTAAATTCCATGTGATCAAAGAGGAAGCGGTTTCTGGGTGCAGGCCTTTTGTTCAGCATCCCAGTAAAGCCACCCATTTGGGTTGGTGATTATAGAGACCCATTACAGCAGACAAACATGTCTGACAAGATGTTTGAACAAAGTGATTTCTTAAGAGGAAAGTGCTGCTGAATATCAGCTAAAATGCCTCTAGAGCAATTGGAATAATTTCTAGCTATTCTCAGAGGTGTGCGGTATCACCTCTTGAACTTTTTGTTTTGTTTTTCGTGTAATGATGTTCAGAAAGGAACTCACAGATGTCAAACAGAATCATCCACACATTGGGAGAAACAGACCAGCCCAAACCTACCTCTTTCCCACACTTCCATTTAAGGAGATTTGTCTAGGAATTATTTATGTAAATTGCCTGGTACAGGACAGAGATTGTGCCCAAGTGATCTAATGTCACTAAGACATGGGTTGTTTTTTTGTTTTTTGTTATGTTTTTTTATGTTTGCACTATAGTATTTAACCATAATGAATCCATAATAGAATTGCCAAATATAAACAAGTAGAACATTCTATAGTGGCATAATGTCTATATCGACCACATTGTGAGATTTCCCAAAATTCTATTGGTCTTTAAAGAGTTAAACTAATGTTCTCAAGTTCTTTGTAGGCTACAATTCCTATCATAACGGTCTGTCCTTGCCTTCCAAAGATAAAAAAAATAAAAAATTGAGATTTACAGTTATACCATTGAATATCTGCCTGTTGGTTACCCTGAACAAATAGTATATAGGGTGTGATCAGCCAACAAGATTAAACACTAATGACTCACATACACACTCACAACAAGAGAACTGACCTAACGCTCCCTGTCAGCTTCCACTGTAAGTCCCGCGGTCTGAGTGCCGTGCGGAACGTTGCCACGGGTTACCCGTGGCAACGCTCTGACCCCGCGGCTCTCGTGAGACTTGCAGGGGAGCTGACCGGACCGGAGCTGACAGGAGCTGCAGGAAAGGTAAGTTACAGCTCTCTGCCAGCCCCCAACAGGACCGCAGGGCTCATTACAAGCCCGACGGTCTTGGTTTGTATTATGGCAATGTAAGTTGCGATAATACAGACATTGACTCGAGTATAAGTCGAGTGGGGGTTTTTCAGCACAAAAAATTTGCTGAAAAACTCTTATACTCAAGTATATACGGTATTTCATTAGGGATGTAAAGGGCCACATATGATTTCATGAAGTCACTTTAGTGCTCATAAGTTTTCAGATGATAATGTTTACATTTTATTTCACAGTTTGAGTTTGACTTGTAAGAAGGGGGAATGCTGAGCTTCAGGTCTTGCATTTGTGGCCCAGAGGAGATGCGTTTTGAAGCAGAGGCCTGGTATTAAACATGAGCTGAATATCACTTTACGAGTAGATTTCTGCATGTCCCTCTTATCTTGGCTAATTTCTTTCATACTGCTCTCTACATCTTTATGGTCGAGGGTCTTTCTATTGCCTTGGAAACATTTTCTTTCCTTATGACAAATCACTTCTAACATTGATGTATTGTTCATGTATATGATTAAGCATTTTTTATTGCAGAGAGTATAAGGGAAATCCTGCTTATATTGTATGGCACCAGAAATGAACTGTAATAATGTATTGATGTCTTTATAGTCTTTGTTTTTTTGCTTGTTTTTTGAACAGTTCTAAATGAAGACTGTGAAAGATACTGTAAATTCAATCACACATTTTACACAAAGTAACAATATCATATGTACATATGCATATATACACATTCATGTAAACTACATACATGTCCATGAAGGCCATTTTAGCTACAGGTTAAAATGGTGTATATGGGCTTTGGGGTGATTGGAAAGGAGTTATTTGGAGGGATCGGCTCTATCAGCTATAGGAAATCTTTAAGGACCTTTTCTCCTATGGAGTTGGCAATAATAATGCCTATGGGGAAGCATTGGATTGGCTGAGATTGTTAATTCAGATGATCTCAGCCAAGGGGTCAGAGTGTGGGAGGAGCCATCATCTCCTCATAGCGGCGCTGGAATAAAGGTACGTTTTTGCTATATTTAAGTGAAGGAAAGAAGAGCTAGCCCCCGAAATAGTGTTTGTATTCCTGACCATGTAGTGTTGCTTTAGAGTGGACTGCTGTGAGCATTATTGTTTGCCATACTTTTTACACCCAGTATGGCCCTCTTTAAGATATAATCAAATATACCTGAAGAAAGTCTAATTTAATCAACACACGTGTTGGTTCATTCACATCTGAATTTTTCTGTGGCATTATTGGAATGTTATGTAAAACCTTTTTCTTTTTTTCTGGAGATAGATGTGTTTGAAATATACCAAAAAAAAAGCACACTTTCTTAGTGCAGTTTGACACTGCATTAAAACCTGTCACTAGTGGTGTTGGGATGTTTGTCACGGTACAAGACCATGCATATAATAGCGTGTTAGTATATTTGCTTGCCCTGCAAAACTCTCCTCTTTTACAGATTTCTACAATAAATTTAAACCTAGAGAGCAAAACTGACACAATAAATAAAGTATAAATATCAAAATTTTTTTTTTGAACAAGAACATTACTCACCAATAAAAAAAATTTGGGGAATAAACCACTATAGTGCCACACAGGCTAGGGACACGACCAATCTCTCATAAATTGTAAACAAAAATAAAGATATCCGGGCACACACAGACTCTATCCCCTATTGCAGACTTTGGTCAGGCAACATTTCGGCTCAAACACAAGCCTTTCTCAAGCCACTTAACTCAAAATGTTGCCTGTCCAACTTTAATAAAGTCTGCAATTTGGGATAGAGCCTGTGTGTGCTCGGATATCATACAATGTTTCTAAAGACGCTTGGCAATGTATTAATGAAACCTGAAATTGTGGAGAATTAATGAGGGTATTGCATGTTTTAAGCATTAGCATTAGGGTTTTTGTTTTTACCCTTTTCAGCAATACTACCTTGGCTTAAATTTGCCGTTTGCCTGTCCTCTACAATTTTAATTTTAGTGAATAGACTAATCCCAAAGGATGTGTATTCTAATTGTATGTGCACATTGTTTTGTTTACTGTGTTTAGGCATTGAGCGATGTGCTGTTCATCCTGTAACCCTCTCACAGTCAATTGGCTAAACTCCACTATCACCTGTGGAGCTTCTTAGTGCAGCATATTAACTGCAGGGACCTCACAGTGCTGATAGTTATTTGTACATGTGTGATATGCAATGTTGTTTCTTGCACTGTTTTTCCAATTTGTTGCTTTTTTAGTAAGTTTAGTCTCTATCCCTTGCTTCTTTCCTCTATTCCTCCTGTTTCCAAACGCCTGCATTGCTTCCCTCTGCCTAGGTCCAAGCCAATGGTATGTACTAACGTCATCTGCCATGCTTTATCTGCTGCACATACAAATCTAATAATGTGATGTTTACCTGGAGAAAAGGAGAAGTAACATACGTCCAAGACTATTTTATTCCACTTTCTAAGATTAATACCGTGAGTGGCTTAAAGTAAATGTAACCCCTTGCCTACACACCAAAATGACAAAGTGCTACATCAGTATGGCATTGTCCATGCTACAGGCCAAATAAAGTGACTCCAATGTTTATTAATGTGTTCATCACAACTTGTCTACTTTACCGCCATCTAGTGGACAGTGGTTCTCACATATAGATGAAAAGCTGGTCAACATCCAGGTTATTATCCAAGGGTAAACATTATGTACATATTACAATGTGCATTCCCTGGTGACCCCATTGATAAACTATATGGTTCTTAATAGGCATAGTGACTGCTGGGAAATTTAAAGTCCCTACTGTGAAAGAATGTGTAGTGTTCGTGATATCTTGCTTCTATGTGGGTGTTAAGTCTTGTATACTTTTGCTGAACATGCTATCCATTAGCAAATTGTGTTGCCTTCCATTTCAGTGGCATGCAGATTAATGTGCGTTTGTGTTTGATGTGGTTTGTGTGTGATTTGCTGCATAATACAGCATGCAATTTATCCACTTGTAGCATTTTCTTTTTCAGTATAAAATGTTGCCTATAGAAGTTTACAATTTATAATAATATAAAGCCAAACCGAGTTTATTAATGAAACCATGAATTTTGATGAATTGCAATATTCAGACTAAAGTAGCTGATCTGTGACTTTATCAAAGTTGGGGAATTTTTCCAGATGGGCTAGTTATATCTTCAATTTTGCAATTCAGTTTTCGATTCACTATTTTGTGAATAAACCCCAAATGTGTGCGTCTTTAAATGATAACTAAAGACTATCCTGAGTGCTTGATGTTATCTGTCTACATATATAATCAGTTATTCACTAAAGCTGGAATCCAGATTAGCACAATTTTAGTTTGAATGTACGAATTGCCCCTGAATTTGTAATTATTCTATTTACTAAAGCCTAATCTGGTTGAAATTTGATTCTGTCTACATAAAGCATAAATGCCATTCAATTTGCATATTTATCAAAAATAGAATTTTAATTAGATTAGCTCTGAACAAATCCAGGGATAGACAAATTCACTAAAAAAATTAATTTGCTTTCTTTTTTTTTTTCATACGATAGGTATAGCGGGTTCAAGCCAACATTTGGGCTTACGCAGAAGCCAATATTTGAGAGGTTGTTCATAGCAATACAACATATAACTTTAGTTTACATGACATTCCTCTTTGTGATCACTTTGTGCCCTGCTTCCCATCGTGGATTTTATGTTTAAACCAGGCAATTTAGCTTTGTAAGGATATTAATTTGCTTTCTACAGGAGAACCTATAGAAAACTAAATACTTGCCTATTTGCTTCACAAGTGGCCAGCAGTCAAAGGGTTTGAATAATTAAATATTACTAATTTATATTTATTATATTATTGATATCATGTAAATATAATAAACAAACTAAATATTCAAGTTAGCCTTTTTTCCTTGGAGTTGGCTAAGGAAATAAGGCTGACATCTTTTTGTAATGATACTAGATTCTATTAGAATTGGCAAATGTCTGCCAAATAACAGTTGGACTGAACTGGCAGGCAGACAGCTGCTAATTCTGTATGATTATCACTGTATTTGATTGATTCTGTATTTCCATCATTCAGTTCTGAATTTCAGCCTCTGTCAGATCTGGACAGACTGAAAGTCAGTCTAACTTGAAGGCTCTATTGCAGAATCCACACATAAATCTTAAGAATAGTGTCCAAATTGCCTCCGTCCATATACCCTTAGATGATACCAGATTGTTTTTAATAATGCAGACAAGGTGTGTTCTGACTTTGGTGAATAACCCTCGATATGTAAGTGGACCACTTAACATTACAGAGCTTTACAAGCTGATCCACCCTCTCAGTGAAAACCATTGCTATGACATGTTCATATTTGAGCTTTGCATTGGACACATTTCAGAGTCTCTTAAAATGCATTATATACTCCATGTTACTCATACTATCCTTATGGTCAATTATTTTAAATACAATTCTTCAATCAATTCTTGTGTAACTATCATTCCAAGTGAATTCTTGTATAACGATCATTCCAAATCAATATCCTTTTAAATTGATCACTACTTTAGTTGACCAATGTTTCCCTAATTGATCATCCCCTCCATGTGTTTCATTGCATTGTCCTGCTTCAGATGTTTTGTAGTATACCCTTGTTCATGTATCATAGTTGCATTATTTTAGAGCTCCCTTAGTGTATTTTATCATATCTTATTAACTTGCATGAGTCTCTTCCTAAAACCTCACATGTTGTTTTCAATTTAACGTTTTCATGACTCCAATAATGTTGGCCCGTTACCTTTTAAGGTCTCTAGGGAATAGTTTGTTACTAGACTAAGAGGTAATGGCTGGTAGTGTGGTGTTCTCCATAATGGGACAGTAATGAAAGTAATGTAATAGTCTTTTCCAGTATGGCCGATGTTTGCTTATTCAAAGGTTTGTTTACACAACAGTGTTACTTCTCCATTTCTCCGTCTAGTGCATGAACAATCATTTGGTGTATGGCAAGAACATTCAATTCTCTTGTAATACCTTGCTATTAATTGTTATGCATTTCCTTTGTAGAACACAGCTCTTGATAAGACTGGTCAGATCTTCAGTGGTAAACGCTGTGATGACAATGGTACTACTGGCCGGGACAAAATCATTGCGGTGACAACCGCTGAAGACGCTGAGAATATTTCTGGGTCTACAGAACTGCTGTGAAAAATTGGAGGCTTCCTAGCCTAGATGTATACTGGATAGCTTCACTGGCAAAGTGGAGGACTGATGACAAAACACTGGAATACACTTCTAAATGTTCTTTTTATGCCGCCCTTTTAGTATTTTTGTTCTTGGTTTCCCTTTATAACTGGTTTTCATTGTACGAGAGACTCTTAGTATGTTGAACTTCTGAATATGTCAGTCTTACGACAACTTGAACAAATCATAGTTATTAATGGGATTTTTTTTAAATTACCTTATTCCAATACAGTACATTCAGCATTAGAATAGGGGATAACCATAGAAAAGATTTGTAAGCCTACTAATTTTGCCATTGCTACAATTACTTCCAGGAGACTATTTCTAAATTGTTCAATGGCAAAAACGTTTTTTGTTAGATACTGGTACTCCTGAAAGTGATCTTTTATCTTCACGATTAAAGACATTGGGTTATTTGGTTTGGTCACTTTGATGTGGCTTATACGTTGTGCACCTTCTAAGAGCAAGGTATTTATTGATAGATCTGGTAATTTATTTAGGTGTGTGGGTATTTATTTTGGGGCTTTCCCCTTTCCTTAGTTTTCACTCTGTACAGTCTCTACATCTATTTTTGTAAAAGACTCTGCTAGTATTAAATCTCCTGTGAAACCTGAAGATGAGACGCATGTTGCCACAGCCAGGTGCAAAACTGCTTTTGCAAAATGCAACGGTCAGGACCAATTAGCCAGTCTATCCACACTAGTAGTGGACTGATGACTACATACAGTACTGAAGTGTTGTTACACATTTTTATAATCCATTGAAACTGGAGAGGAAACAACTGATTTGTTTTTGTAATTCTGCTTCTAAAATGTCTTTTCAAAGCTTGTTTCATTCTATTTACAGTATTGCACATTTGAAAGCAACCCTCAGCTTGGAATTGCAGCCTGCCTTGATACTTAAACCTATTAAAATCTAGGCATCAATGCATGTTTTGTCCTTTCTGTTATGCTGTCTGTCCAGTGTACATTGACTGGGAAGGTAGATTCAAATGAATGTACTTAACTATACAAGATCTTATCAGACTGAATATACTCTGCTTAACTAACTTAAACATTTGAGTCAAAAAACGTATCATTATCTTATGTCTTTGTTTGGGTATAAGCAATTTAACACTATCCTCTGAACAAGTAATGCAATGCAGTGGTATTTATGTGCAAAATATACCATTGAATGTTCCGCTTGCCAAGGCAATCTGCTCATTTGCTTTAGAAGTCACTCATTAGACTGCTATTTCTGCTACCAGTCAATGAAATCCCACAGATTTGTATGGTTTTATCCTAGGATAATTCTACAGCTATGTATAAGCAATGACTAGATAGTGTTCACCTTTTAGAGGCAAGATCTAATCCCTCATTCATATTCTGTCTAAACTGTTAGAACATTCTAAATGTTTGGGTTAGTAGTGTTCTGTTGTAAGCACCTGGCATCGTTGTTCATCTTAATAATGTGTGCAGCTATCTTCTTTCAACAGTAAATATCTAGACCTATTGAACTAGTTTCGTTGGTTTGCAGTAAAACTTGAACAAGAGCCACATATGCATATAAGCAAATTCTGCATTGCATAGTGTTGTTTAATTCATCATTTTAAATGCAAACATCTGGTGCTTTTACCTCATACTTTAAAAACATGCTGTCTGAGTAACGATACATGGAATACAAAATAAAAAATATTTTAGCAGTGGGTGCAAAATGAGCAATAGGTGCTGAGCCCAAGCAGAAGACAGAACCCTCTTGATAGGAACACGTCCTGCAATAGTAATTCAACATAACAAAGATGTCTGAGCACACACAGATCCAATTGCAGACTTTAATGGAAACAATGTTTCAGCTCAAACAGGAACCTTTTCCAAGTCCCACATGAGCCGAAACATTGCCTGTTCATTTATGGAATCTGTGTGCCCAGATATCTTTTTGTTATTTTAATTTACCATGAGACATTGTGTCACTGACATATAAACACCTGCTAAAGCCAGAGAGATCATTCACATTGTTAGTGCATCAACTCCATCTTTAATCAAAGACTGGTAAAATGAGCACCATTAAATAACCGTGAAAACATGATCTAGAATGTATATGTACTTCAATACAAACTCGAAACAGTCAGTAGACCAGAGAAAGTTATGGCAGTTACTGGGATAGTATGTCTAACTGCTCATTAGTTTTTATTTAAGCACAATTTAATATTAGCATTTTAATTAAGTTGCCGTTTCTTCATACTGTCTCTTCAAATCTGATTTTATTTTGTACTAGAAATGTAAATTTACAATAAACATCCTCTCCATGGAAAATGTTAAAGTAGTGATTGGAATTGACACTTATTTATGTATACATGTTATTGCACATACTGTACTGTTTAACTCATTCTGACTTATAATTTTAAAGCAGTTTTATTTTGACACCTTAGTAAAGGTCTAATCAAAGTGCATAATTTATAGCTATAGTTACAGTATGGCTGTTGGGTTGGACCTGCTTAATTTAAATCAAGTGTGTATTTATTTGCAACTCCTGTTTGTTTTATTAATCTTCTTGTCAGTTTATGCACATTTAATCTATTGGTCCGGCACTGTCTACATCTGCTTGACATCAACTATCAAGCAAACCGGTCCTGTTTCTTCCTGGTTTGGTTACCCGAATAGAGCTAAACTCACTAGGCAAACAATTGCCCAGAGCACATGCTTTGCAAAAACTTCTCATTGAGCTGCATTGGGAAGTCTGTGATTGGACAGTCACAAAAAGTCTAGCCTGGGGAAGAAGGGGAGGGCGTTCAAAGGAATCAGGCAAGAGAAGTGCAGAGTTAGCAAGTTGTTTTTAGATCTAAATCCAGTGAAAATGCACATGTTTCAATTGTGGTATATCTACTTACTCTTTTTTGGAGGGGTGTGGGGGAGGGGGGGGGCAGTAGAGTGTCCCTTTTAAGATGGTGGGGTGCCAGGCTTCACCTATAAAATTTAAAGGGACATGCTTTATTTGACAGTTGGTTTTTTCCATTTTATAATTTTATTTTAAGCCATCAAACAATTTAACAAAATATGCAAACCAAAAGAAAAGCAAGATAAAAGTTTATAAACGTGGTCAGATTGCACCGAAGGGCAGGCTAATTGAGCTGTTGTCTGTTCTCACTTCTCTTGCTTCTTGTTTTTCCTCTCCTAAAGTTTAAAGGGCAATCCAAACATGGACCCCTTGCTCATGGTGCCTAGAAGGATATTGGCTATACATCACCGACGATACCTTACGAGGTTGAAACGATAGTCTGGGGTTGCTGTATCTCTCATGCAGAGGGAACTTGTTGGCATTTTGGATCTGAACTGCCCGTACGGGTGGGACCAGTCTGATGTGCTTCAGATAGATTCTCTCTGTGACGGCACTAGATGAGCTAAAACCAGCCTGAGATCTGAGCCGGACCCACCAAACGGCAGGCTAATTGAGCTGTTGTCCTTTCTCACCTCTGACTTCTTGTTTTTCTTTCCTCAGATTGTATTATTGGCACACCTCTAAGCTGTGGAAATTTCTTCAGCCCCTTGCTCACCCAACTTAATGTAGTTGTTCTGGTGGTTTTGGTGACTAGTGTTCCTGTAAGCATCATTGATGGGACATGCATATCATAACCGTTAATAAAGAGTTACTATCAAGCAACTTACCTAGAAGCATAGGAAAGTCCTCCAGGGATGGGAGGGTGCGATAATTCTCACCTCTGTCTCATTAATAAAATCATGACTTTACTACTTGTTAAAAGTAAAATATTTTATTAATGACATGGAGGCTCCTATTATGCTAGTTTAAAGACAGAAAATCAAGTTTTTGTTGAAAAGGTCTTAAGCAAAAATCTTGAAATGTGGACTCTGAAAACCAAACGGGAGCTCTCAAGATATCCTCCAAATGACCGCAAACCGAAGAAGCCTGAGAGGGCAAAGCACCATGGACCAAATGGATACATCAATACCTGCAAGGGTCAGAGTAGATACCACAAGGTGAGGCTTCAAAGGATTACGCAAAAGAGTTGTACAAACTTCATATTCATGTAAGCATGCAACTGGGCAAAGTTGAGGCCTCCTATGAAAAGCCCAGTATGCAACAGACTTAGAGAAAGTCTTAGTTATCAGAGAGATGTCAAAGAGGATGCCTTCAGGTGTAAACAAAGGAGCATTGCCAAGAGCTCGAATGTCAGATACTGGAGATTAAGCAAAATAGCATGAGCAGTTTTGAGACAACAAATCATTATCTGACCAAGCTTCGAAAAAATTTAGGACGAGAAATGTTCCACAGGACTGAGTATCGTGGTAAGGGAGGACAAGCAAAACAAATTCCGCATGGGATTCGACATACAAAAGGATGACATCCGACAGGGGCTCCATCTATACTGTGATGTACGGCAGAAATGGTCTATCTGTAAAGGTTCAAAGTGCAGTTTTTTCTTTTTCCTCATCCTAGAGGGAAGTTAGAAAATGGAGAATAGATGTCCATGTAGCCAATATAGGATCCAAATTTAATTCCAAGAACCAACCATTCCATGTGTTTCAAGCAGCTCTATAACCTTGTGTCGTGCAGGGGGCCTATGCCTTTTCGAGAAGTCAGAGAGTTGACTGCAAAAGTCCAAGTTTGCCTGAAATCAGCAACAAGATGAGATGTAAGAGGCCTTGAAAGACAAGAGGATGAAGCTGTCTATCTGGATCTCAGACAAGGCAATCGAGGGGCAGAAAAAGACAGGAAAAATAGACAATCATCTCCAGTTGGGATGGCCACAGAGGAGTCACAATCCCCAGGGTGCCGAACTGTCAAAGATGAAGACAATGAGGAATGAGTGCAAAAGGAGGCCAATTTTGGGAAAAATAATTTGTTGCCATTGCTGTTGGATCTGGTCTCCAACTGAAAAAGCGGAGAAGCTGCGTATTCATTTGAGAACCGAAGAGATCCACTTCCAAGTTATCCCAAGATCTCAGCTCTCCTGTAAAGCCATGGAACCCAGATAACAGTGCCTGGAATCCATGAAGTCATGGGAATACCGGTCCACCATAGTGTTGGAGTGACCGGGAATGTATTCTGCCATTACCGAAATACCATGCATCAGGCAGAAGCACCAGAAATCATGAGCTAGGTTCACCCGAACCTTAGATTTCATGCCACCTAGATGGTTGATGTATTGGACACCCTTTAAAAAAAGGATAGCAGAACACATGGGCAATATCCAGAGGGGGTATATGAAACACAGTGTTTCGGCACATTTTACACACACAAAAAAAAAACACAACAGTAACGCCTCTCTTATCATACATGGTTGTGTATAATAGACAAAAACATTGGAGTGGAGAGGACAATATTAAGCTACTGGCAAAGGTAGAAAGTGAGTGGATTTTTAATGTAGATATACATACAAAATAATAGGTGGAGCTGTAAATTCTTGAGAAGTCTGTAAAATACAAATACAATACAAAATAGGCTGGAGTCATACCGTCATATGACTCTGGAGGTATATGTCTCTGGACCATTGGGGGTTGTCCAGACCCTTTTGTTGTCAGCTTTTTGGTCTTCCCCCTTTTGAACATTTATTGGACACTTTCCAATTTTTCATTTGCATATGCATTGTACTGTATTCCTATATTCAGCATTATCTGATATATGGATATTTTAAAATAATTTTTACACCAGTTATTTTCTAATAAATATATACTATTATTGAAGAACCACCCGTTTACCAAGTACTTCTTGGGGACCGATTAAGGAACATAAAAGGGGGAAGACCAAAAAGCTGACAACAAAAGGGTCTGGACAACCCCCAATGGTCCAGAGACGTATACCTCCAGAGTCATATGACGGTATGACTCCAGCCTTGTGAGTTTTACTACTTCTTATCCTTGGTTCATTGTCAATTACAGACATACTACGCTATTTTGTATTGTATTTGTATTTTACAGACTTCTCAAGAATTTACAGCTCCACCTATTATTTTGTATGTATGTTTATGTGTTTTTAGTGGTGTAGGGGATTCCACTACATAGGTGTATTAGAGCTATTACATTTTCTTTCTCCTCCTGTGTACACATTCCTTTATACCATTTTTAATGTAGATACCCTATTCCCAAAGGGTTTAAATTTAGATTTCGAGTTCTCAGATTTTATAAAAATTTAAAATTTTCATACATTTTTCATGTGTATTTTGTTATATATATGTTTTAAGGCCGTTTGGCCCGTATTTGTGGGAGCGGCTTAAATTAATTCACTCCCCTATGTAAGGGACACCCCTTACCTGACTCGTATCGCTTGAGGTCAGCATCAGAATGATTTCCACTTCCGGGTCATCCAGACGCCATTTTACCTGATTACTCCATGAGGTTTTCTAAGCTGAGCTGTGTCAGGAATTCAGCAACAGGCTTTTCCGGCCTACCACCTTCTTTCTTCAATTTATCGCTGTGGATGGTGTTCAAGTGACTCACAAACCGTAAGTCGACCTACCCGTTACGCCAGGCATCAGTCCCACGGCACCATGCACGGGTCAGGTCCTCACTTTACGGCTGCATTTTGTCTAAATCTGTCCTAAAACCATTGCATGTTCATGCATATCATTCATTTAAATTCACTTGTTTATATCTGTCACTGGCTCATTTCGAGCATTAGCATACTCCCAAACGGGAACACATTCTGTTTCAATTGCCTAAACATACTAGGCAATTCTGTGCGTGCATTTCGAATGTCACTGCTCGTTTCGTTTTGTTTCCCTGACATACCAGGCTCACGGTTCGTGCAATTTTCTAACAAACGGGAACTAGTTCATGCATTTACTATTGTACTACACCCACGTTTCGTGCATTTTCAACCCACGAACAGAATTTTGGTTTGTTACAATGACTGTTATTAAGCTATTATGTTCACTTATTGTATATTGTCAAACGGGCACTGTTTGTTTCCCTTTCATACAACTATAATGCTGGGGCATAGCTCACGAACAAGGTTTCACATAAACCACACTGACCCCTACAGGTCACTCTCAAATCTCACGTTAACCTTGCATTTGGATTAACCCCTTAAGGACCAAACTCTGGAATAAAAGGGAATCATGACATGTCACAGATGTCATGTATCCTTCAGGGGTTAAAGGGTATTTTACCATACAATCAGCATTTCTGACCCCTACTGGTCAACAGCAAAACTGTCTTCACATGTCATATACAATTACCAGCCAATATAAATTACACATAAGATTGTTTTAAACATAACCATAAACCATAAATGAAACTCCAACACGGGCTCAACTTCAGGTTTAATTCACAATAATTTACATTTCACAT